AACTAAACTAAAAACTAAACAATATGTGCATTTGGGATCTTAGAAAACTAAAATAAAAGAAAACATTGAGGAGTGTTCTTAATTTTAGTCGTTGTCAGGTCAGTTTGGTGAAATTTCAAAGGATAAAAACTAAAGAATGAGAAACACCCTGTGGAAACTAACACAAACTAAACTGAAAAAAAAAAAAATAAAAAAACTATAATAGCTCCTGCCAGTGACACGCAGAGCATTGAGCTGCTAAAGAGATCGATATTTGTCATTAAGTTGATCTAACCTCCGACAAAGAAAACAGAAAGCACCTAGAGCAAATTCCCCAACGCGCAGAGACTACACTAAATCGATGTTTTATTATGTTTTGTTACAACATGCTGACGTAGCCTGCTTTTAGAAAGCTGATGTCTGACCTTTGACCTTGATGCATTACATACTAAAATGGTGCATTTTATCATCTTTACCACGTGATTGGAGCAGAATTGGCTGAAATTTTAACTTCTATAAGCGTTACTTAAAATTTTAAAATACAGTCATTATGGCATAATTATCACTTTTGTGTCGTAGGCAAAAAAAAGGAAATTTGTTGTACAGCTCTCATGCTTTTTCATATGAAATATTACTTGATATGGCTTTTTGTACTTTTTTTCAAGGTCAACTTCGACCTTGGCACTAACAATGAAGGTCAAGTCAAATGCTTAGCCAACCTAGTTCCCATGTCCCCGAAGAAAGTGTTTATTGTTTTGATTTTTGAAGACAAACCATAGAAAACTGTGTTAATATAAAGTAATTTAACCTTTTCCCTCTGATAGTGCCACGCTAGAGTCTTCTTCTGCAGTTTCTTCAAAGATGACCTCCTGGACTGGGATGATCTCTGGAAACCTTCTCATATCCTGAATAGTTGTGGGAGAGCTTTTCTCACTGTCGGGCCACTATAGTGCAGTGAGCTGGCTTTGGTGGCTGGACCACCTCTCTCACCTGGATACATTACAGACACGTGAGCCTCAGACTACAACAAGCAAACATAATGTATCCTTTACAGAAAAACAAGCCTTTTAGTAGTTATCCTGATGTCTACTGATACTCCTGATATTTATTCTCATGACCACACTAAATGCCTACTGTCCTACTGAACTAACCCACCAGGTTTCAGCTCATAAGTGGCTTAAATAAGCAATGTACTGTATTCTTAGTTTAGAATAGACACAGTCCCCTTTGTGGTGGTCTAGATAAGATGTTAAACAAAACTCTTGCCTCTGAAACCTGTGAAGGAGCTGGTGGGAGGAGGTGAGCAGCAGCAGCAGCAGCAGGTTGAGAAGCTGGTTGTGCGTGGTAAGAAAGCTGTGGCTGAATTGGTGGAATCTGACAAATCACATCAAAAGTATGAAAATAAACTCCTTTTTATATAATCACATTTTCTTAGCATTGGGGCCAGGTTTGGAAAAACAAAATTTTATCATACTGATCAAAGTCACACCTTAAAACAAAGCAAACAAAACAGTAAGTTTTAGGAAGTCCAGCTACTAAGATGTAAAACTCAAAAAGACAACTAACCTGATGGACACGTAGGTCATCAGGGGAGTGAACTTCTTCAGACAGACCCATCAGTCCAGCCAGTCCCCCTCACCATATGCAGACCAGATCCTTGAAACATCCCCTGTCTTCAGAGCTAAGCGAATCAGCAGCCAGTGGTGATGCTTCCAGCCCTCCCATTGGATAGGAAGGTCCATGAGAGTCCCACCTCCTTAACAGAAGATGCACAGTCATTCTTCAGATAGATAGATAGATAGATAGATAGATAGATAGATAGATAGATAGATAGATAGCAACAGACCAGACAGTGTTGCATGTCGATGAAAAGTGGGCGTGACTTTCTCCTCTAATGAGAGTGTAGAGCCACGCTCCATGCAGGCCCCGGCTATTCCCCTGTGACGAATACTCTGGAAGATTTCAAAAGACTTTGGATGGAGGAAACGATAGTACAGCACCAATGCTATCACTCCTAAAGACAAAAAAACCAAGTGTCAGGAAGAGGAACATTGAGGCCTTGAAAAGTTGTTGTGTTCCCTTTTTATAACTTGAATTTGCACATGTTCTGCGTCTCACCAATGAGGAAGCTGCAGAACACTGCAGCTGGGATTCCCACAGTATCCCAGGAAACCATGGCAAACATCCAGGAGGATGCCAGAAGAAGAAAAGCGTTCTCTAAGAACATAACCTGAGGAAGAATAAACAGACATCCAATCCCAAATCAAGATTACACTGATTTGACATTTGAATCGTTTATAGCTAATGCATGGCATCTGCTGGATGTTTTTCCCTCAAATAATATGAAAAACACTCTATGATCCCAATAATGCGAGTAACTATCTTTGTTAGCACGGAAAAAAGCCGTCTGTGAAAAAAGTACTAATGTGAAATTTTCAGCATTTTATGTATTCCACCTAAACGCTAAAGTAAAAAGCAAAGCTCTGCACAGCTGAAATGCAATCATTTTCAAAGTCATTTTCAAATATTATGTATGCTTTCAGGTTTCTGATGATGTACTAAACTTACAGCTTTTCTTTTTCAAATGTAATTTGTTACAGTGTCTCTGTTTTGTCAGAGCCCCCGGCATATTAAACCCACAATATCATGAGCAGACAAGCTTGAAGTGAACACAAACACACATACCAGATAAAACCCAGCCATGCGGTATCTAGATTGACCGTACTTCACGTTGAGGAAGAGGAAGATGTGAATAGCTCCCAGAACAAGATTGAAGAGCCTCCATCGGCTTGTAGACCTTATGATATCTGTCTGCTGGGACACCATCCAAAAAGTTGCTCCCAGCCAGTGGACACCTGAAACAGACACAGTCCTCTTATGCTTTTTCTTTTTTTTTTGTACACTGTTACAGTGATGGATGCTCATATTAAACAGGGTCAAAGTTTCAAACAGTTTTTCTACTGTTCATTCTGTGTGATGTCAAAGACAGAGGCTATCCCTAGCTGCCCACAACTGGCTGTGAAGACTCACCGATGACCCGAGGATCCACTGTTTGAAGATACGTGTGAAGAGCATGAGAATGGCAAACCTGGATCCCAACATACTGACCTGCAGAAAGAGAAACCATACGTGTACCAAAAACACAAGCAAAACAACAAAACACATGCTTATGACATGCCAAACACAGATGCAGTAGCATTACTGATACTGTTAGATACTATGTTGTAAACACTGCTTGTTGCGAAAGCTGTTAAACATGCCCACCCTCCACAGCAGTCGACAGAGCATGGCAGCTGGTGTCATTTGCAAGTGTCCTGGTCTGATGAGTGAACAGGCTCTGGCATAGAGCACTAAGGCCCAGCCAAGAGAAACCAAACACACTGCAAAACACACTGAGGCTGGCGAGAGAGAGAAACAGTGTGTGTCAGAGTGAGACAGAGAGAGAGAGAGAGAGAAAGAGAACAAGGACAAGAAATATGAGTACACTGAAATACTGAATCACACAAGACTTCAAGATACAAAACTGTCACAGGCATAATGCTGGAATCAGATTTACAGCAGCAATACCAGTTAAAAGGGTATATTCTGAATTAGTTCTCTGTTAACATTTACTTTAACATTATTATTTTAAATAAATCACAAAACAAGTATGTTATGAACTACCTGGTCAGCTGAGGGTACTGTCAAAAACTAAATGACACTGTTTATTTAAAGATTTATTTCAGCTCTTCCCTTATACACAAGCCATAGTAGATCATAGTAGATGACTTTTAGAGCACATGCTCTTTGTGATCTAACCCCTAACGAATCTGTCTCCTCCAGTTCAGGAACTGGGGATATTTTCTGATGTGATAGGCCGAAGTGTAAATGACTACACCATGAAGCAACACTTAAACTGTACATTTTCTAAATTTAACCTTAGATCACTTAACTTGAGAATAAAAGTGGTCCTAGAAAAGAGCCCTGTTGCACACCTTTCTTTATTCTCAAAGCTAACAATTTGAATATTTTTTATTAAAAAAAAACTACATTAATCTCAAAACTCTCTGAATAAGAGAAACCTTACAGCCAGCTAAGGTCTCTCTTATTCATCTTAATTTAAGTCCCTACCATCTTCTCAAAACTATCTGAGAGTAAATTTGTTTATCCGCTGCTTAGCAGTGAGTAGTTAGCACACACTGGATTTATTTCACTAATAGCTCAATGTTCCATCTGGAAATAATACAAAAAAATGAACAGGCAGACTAAGCTAGAAAAGACTACAACAATTATCCAACACTGAGATTTTTTTATAGCTGAAGGTTGTTAGTCCTGTTGCAGCACTTTCACATTAAACTTTTATTTCATCTTGATTGGATAGCCAAAGGCCATAAGAGAGGCATTATGAACCTATCCACTGCTGTAAGATAGGCATAGGTACACTCCGACAGTAAGTGGTGATGTTACTGGTAGCCAGTAACATCACCACCAACAAATACTATCCAAATTTACAACAACTGATTACCTCCTTTTATTTTTTCATTATATATTTTTATCTATCCATATTTTGTGTATTTTATTCTGCACATATTACACATTCTATTCTGTAAATATGTTATTTATTGTGATTATTACTTGCTTTTCTTTTACCGCCAATCTGAGACAGTACTCCTACTCCATGTACTATTGTAGAAAGTATGACTGTGCAATGACAATAAAGAGTTAAAGTTTAATTAAATGTCCTTTTTCTGATCTTATTATCAAACTTGAACACACGCTTTCTGGTTTCTGACTACCTGGAGATTTGACTCCTATATCAGTACAAATTAGCACATAAGCGTGGAGTAGCGTCTCGGGGAGGGTGACGACCAAGGCTTCGAACAGACGTATGGCAGATGCATCAGCCTGCTGCATGATCTCACTGTACGTATCCTCATCTGGCAGGCGCATGCACTCCCACAGCCTGTGAAAACCAAAGATGAAAATAAATTAAGAGTTATACAAAGAGAGAGAGAGAGACCTTTCTCATTTATGATCATACAAATCTGGAACTTAAACCTGATTATTGGACACTGACTGATTAAATTAATTAATTATTACCTTTTGAAAAGTCCCAGATGCAGTATGTGTGTCCAGGTGAGAGACTTCCTGCGAATTCGTCCATCTGACAGGTACCAAAGGTAACTCAGCCACTGGGGACCCCAACCTGATCATAAAGAATTATAAAAATGAATAACAATTTGTTTTTCTAGAGTTATTTATTGATCTGTTTGTTGTAGATGTTGTCACCTGGCAGCAGGAACAGGGCAGTGAAGCCAGCAAGATAGCCATAGTTGTAGTTGTGACCGATCCACAGATAGTACACGAAGCAGTAGATCACTGAGGAGAAAGGGAAAGATGTTACCTATAGCATGTTACGCTTACAGGCTGCAAACACTCAGACAAAAAAAACTTGCCATACATCCTGAAATACACATGCAGGCACTACATGCATTTATTTAAGTAGTGAGTGAAGTATATTTAAGAGTGTTACTTAAATAAACTGTTTTGTAAAATAGGCTACATCTCACAGTGGCCTTACATAACATGACATAAAGTGCTCTTAGGTTTAACAATGAACTGTGAAACTGTGAAACTCAGGGATGTTAGATGTTAAAAATAATAATTTATCCCACAAACCTAACAGTAAAATAAAAATACCAATATTTTTCCCTTTTTGCTTATTTTGTTTTCACAGCATTCATCTCTTCTTCTCCTTTCTTTGAATATTTGGCCAGAGCAAAATTAATGTGAAAGAACAGATAAATACTGGTAAAAGAATTCCAGTTGGCCATTATATCAACATCAGCCAATCAATCATCACTGGTCAGTATACTGATCCATTTCTACCTAAATTCTTTTCTGACATGAACATGCACTCAGCTGATTATGACTTTGCACACAACACGCTTGACATTTTTTTTTTATAAAATATAACAACTAACTCACAAATCAAACAGTACAGAAAGTTGTTAAAATAAGATCAACTTTGCCAAATTCAAATGGTCATTGAAACAAAACACAGTGCACAGTAACATGGTTCTGCTCTCCGGCGTAATAAGTACATGTAAGAAACATTTAATTAAGTAGAATTCCCCATGTCCTTGTCCTTTCAAATCTCATATCTTTACCTTCACATGAGTGAGTGATACTGCCTAAACCAGATGTTATTTGGATGAGCCTCACCAGCACATGCAATTATATGATTAGCATGATTGTTGCATTCACTGACTGTCTGATCTCAGACACCTGAACACCATCTGCTCAGCAGTGGAGATGCATCTAAATCCTGAGATCAAGTGTTCCTCCTCATTGTGCCGCTGAGCTTTCTGTTTGTTCTGCTTTACTACAGTTATGTGTCCTGCAGGTAACCTGTTGCAGCTCTGTGAAGCTCAGTTTTTCAAACTGTTTCCAGTTTTTGCAAGTGTTATTATTATTATTTTTTAATAAAGCTAAGGAAGCTCTGTAATGATTCTCTCCCATTTATTTTAATTACTTTCTTAAATGTTTTGTGGAGATAACTGAACTTCTAATACTAAGAAAATTCCTATTTTTATTTTTTACATGGCATTTGCTTTCTTCTTGCATCTGTAACATTGCTGGATCCTCTTTGTTGGTACTTGGTTAATAAATTTTAATCTTTGCCACACAGAATAATGGTTCAGTGTTGTTGTTTTTTTCTTGTGTTCTTTGCTGGGATTCATATTTTGGGGGCAGCTTTGTTGCTTGCTGTACCACCCTAGTCTTGAATAGAAGGGCAGAGTGATTATACCAACCTCATAAACTACAACATTACTGCAGCGCATACACCCACATACACCCATTCTAAGAACAGCTGATCTCTTGGCATTACACTGACTCTGATTTTAGATATATTGTGTGCATGTGTTAATGCAAACGTTGCACTCTCTTCTATAGGATTGTTTATGTCAGGACTAACCTAAAGCATGTGATCAGTGGATCATTGCCAAAACATGCACATTTCAGTCTGCAGTGTGTCTCCACACTTTCTCATTGACCTCTGTTGTGCACTTCATCCCATCCAAGTTTCATTGACAACAGGCCGGCTGATGCCTCTCCTCTCCACATCACACTCTCTGAGGCTCTGCAGCTCTGCCTCCCTCCATCCCTGCATACATGTAATCTGAATCGTTTCAGCTCCGAAACAGGCGGGCTGTCCGGACAGACTAGGCCCCGTCCTGGGGTACGCCCATCCCCTCCGTCCATTCATGTACCTCCAAAAAAGAGCGCTGAAATATGACAACATGGCTCCCCTTTGTTTTTATGCAGAAAACATCACCCAGACCAAGAAAAGGCACAGTTCAAATTATAGGAAAAGTCTGACATGAGTCAGCAGTCCTGCCGCATACAGGATTTCATAACGAGCGGTGTACAAAAATAGGAAAGAGACGCTGTGACTGCGGACTTCTGCTGAGGCTCTATTATTCATGACAGCACAACGGAGACGCTGAAGTAAAAACAAATGCACAACTTTGTATTTTAACGTAGAACAAGATGTCACCCTAACCCCCCCTGTCTCATCCAGGCATCCCTCTGCATCCACTGTAGTCCTCACACTGCACATCCACACGCCGTGGCCAGAAAAGCACGCACAAACGCGCACGCACACACAATAAAGTAAAAAAAAAAGGGGCAGCGTTTTGCACAGGTAGGTGATCACAATCGGCCAAAACAGCGACTGAGGCATAATGCTCAGTTATGTGTGTGTGTGTGTGCATATGTTTTGCATGTATGGATGTAGGTGTATGTGTCCCAGGTAGGACTCACGCGCCGTCCTCTCTGCAACCAGGAGAAATGCGGTAAAGAAGAAGACGCAAACTTGGCAGCACGGCATGCAGGCCCCTCCATTACTGGGGGTGGCCGAATAGTCTCGCATCGTGGAATTAAACCCTGAAAAGGGAGGTTTTCGGGAATAACAGCGTGCTAGTCTTCAGGCCGGTCCGTGCTGTTCTGGTCTCGGTCGGGAGTGTAGCTGCAGCAACCCGCTCTCCCAGCCCCGTGTCCCCGTCCCGGCGTCAGCGCTCGTCCCGTTAAAGCGATAGTACCGATGTTTCAGGACTTAGTAAGATGCATTGGTATTGCCTAGATTTTTATACAGTCAAATCAGATAAATATGAAGTTGTTCTCTAAGCTAAGATTTTGGACTGAAATTGTAAAAGCGAAATGATTTTTCCCTGCAATCTTCTGCTCAGTCATTTTTGTTTTGACATTTTGTCATTCAAGACATAAAACTTCATAGGTCAAGAATTGTGTCTTGTGTCTGTATCGTTCTGTCTGGTGTTGCACTGTCTTTGCACTTTGTGTAGTCCTGTGTTGATCGTCTGTTATATATTATAGGTTTCACCATGGTCTTGAAGGAACGTTGTCTTGCTTCACTGTGTACTCTACCACTGTACATGGTTGAAATGACAATAAAGCCACTTGACCTGAATTAATGCATTAGGTAGGGTGATCTTATGATGGTGAAATGATAGCTTTGCGCATTTATGTTAGACATATATTTTTCAGCTTACTGTACAGTTATCCTGTTTTGGGTTAATTTAATTTTGCCTTTCACTTTATTTATTCATTTATTTATTTATTTATTTATTTATTTATTTATTTATTTATTACATTTGTACAGCTGTACATAAATAATGGGGTGAATGGTTATGGCTGAGTTTTCCAAGATGAGCTGCAGAGGCATATTTTGGACACCAGATGGCAGTAGAGACAGCGTCACAGTAAATAATAGAGTACACTGCTTGCACTGGTTTTTGTCCATTAAATGATCACGTTTTTGTGCAACTAAGTGTGTGGGTACCTGCAGTGGCGATATCAAGGTCAAAACCTTTCTATAGGTGATTCTGTCATGCTTTATGCCCTACATTCAGAGCTTTTCTTCTTTGTCAAACCACTTCCCTGTCCACCACAACCCTTGGCTTACACTCAAAGCCGAGGGTTGTGGTGTTTGGGCTTTGGTGTTCATTCAAATAATTACTTGAATGAACATAAAAAAAATCATGGAAAGGATTTCCACATGATTAAATTGCTTTATTTTACCATCATGCAATGCTGTTATTCCAACTTAATGTACTTGAGTTGGACCAACTTAATCGATTAATGTTGAATAAACTTATTTGCTGCAGTCAAGTCCAGAATAGAAAGCCATTTATTAAAGTGTAACTCTGTTCCATGATTATTTTAGGTTCATTTAAAGAGTTATTTTTTGGAGTGTTCAACAAAATATAGTCTGGTCAACATAAAACTTGTCATGGACATCTTTTGCCCTCCAATTTAATGGATTTATAAAATTCATATGGTTTTATAACTAGTAGTATAATAGTAGGTGGGCTGGAGCCTATCCCAGCTGTCAGAGGGCGAGAGCCAGGATACACCCTGGACAAGTCTATCACAAGTAACACCGTATGGCCTCTTGCACTCACATATGGGTAATTTAGAATCACCAACCACCCTTGCTAGATCGTATCATCTCAACAATAATAAATTTAACTAAAATTAATTTCATGCACTGTAGGAACATAAAAAATTTTTGTTCAAATTATTTTGTTCAAATTACAATTAGACTCTTTCCAGTCGTTAAAGGTGACTGTACACACCATTTCCCCGGACCACATGCCCTCGTTATGTTATTCTTATTGGCACGATTCAACAGTGTACATTCAAACTGTAACCCTCACCATCATGGATTCTGCCAACAAACTTAGTAGAGGTGTGTACCACGGACCCAAAACAGACCAAAAAAACCACTGAAATTAAAGTTTATTCACTTTTTCAACTCTTCAACACAGATTTAAATGGAGCATGAGCTGCTAATACATTGTGTGATATGCAGAAAGACCTGCAGCTGATTAGCTGCCATCCTAAGCCATTTCTGTCATAATTATTAGTACACAGTCATTAGGAGATTCAGAATTCTAGCAATATAAGCACCAGTATATCTCCATCTGTGCATCGAGTTATTATGCTGCTCTGTAGAGTGGAAGTTTTACATCTATCTCACCACATTTACACTTTTTCCCTTCTGTTGCCTTTAATTTTACAGTTTCCAGAACTCACAGTGGGATTATAGCAGGTTCACAAACAAATAAGAGTAGATGAGAAAAGTGCAAAAACTCTAAAATGTGGACCATATCTTGATACCAGTGTTTAAGACAGTAGTTCTCAGACTGTGGGTAGATGCCACTTGTGGGGCATTGAGTTACTGCATTAAAACGAAAAAAGGTATCATGGGGACCCTATAAAAAGGCTCTAAAGCAATACAATGAAAATCATGTGACTATAGTTACATGGATGACAATCACCCAATGTTAGTGGAGTAGGATTAAGTGGGGCGTGCCAGAAAAGGTTTGAGAACCACTGATTGAAAATTAATCCAAATGTTATGCAAATGTTTTTGCTTTTATTTGGCCTTAAAACAAAGTACTAAAGAGAATAGTATTGACAATAATTAAACAATAAGTTATTGTTTAAAATCTTTCATTAGATTCTGTTTAAATTCAGTCATCATTAAATTAAGTTGACAGAATAAATAAAAAACATTCCCATTAGTAAATTGGTAATCTAATGCACCGATAGAAAAGTGGCTGTTAAAAAGCTGATACTTTCCAGTACAGATGGTTGGATTGTGATCAGTTTAACAAGCCAAGATCCTTGCTTTGGTGACCCCGTGTGAATAAGAAAGCAGCTAAAAGCTTGCTTAATCTCATCATTTCATTTCAGACTGTACACTCACACACAGCTGTAGCCTCTGTTATGCCCCCTGTTTGCTATACTTCTCAAAGCACTTGTTAATAATAGAAAAGTTAGAAAATCCCAGCGACTTTATGGCAGCAGCTACATATCGCAGATTCTCTGAAATATCTGCTACGGCTGGCAGCAGTGGTGGTCATCTGTGCTCTTTGTGTCTCTACCAGTTGATGTTTCGGGGCATTCTTCTTCCAAAAATGTCATTGCTGTCTCTTGTTGGATGACTGAACTATCGCAGCTCATATGTTTTCATTAATTTACACAGTAGAGGGACTTCTCCAGGCATTTCTGTCAGTGACAGTTTCACAAGAGTCACATTGGCACAATACATCAGTCCAGTAAGCTGATGGCTATTCATGTCATATAGTATTTATTCACCTATATAGCTATTAGATCCGTTTCCATCCATCAGCTGTATGTTTGTTTCCTTCTTTTTTCAGTCTGTATCTCAGTCTGCGCATCTCTCTGTTTACTGTTGTTTCAATAATATCTGTTAAGACTTTGAGTGACTGTACTGATGTCTGGTTGTCCGTTCATCCAGATCTCTCGGAGGATCCTCTCCCGCTCTTCTAGCCTCTGGGCCCGGTCCAGCTCTGATGACACACATACACAGAATAAGTTTTATGGACACTGTCCATTCATGTTACTGTCAGATTTATTATTTATTTATTATTCTATTTGAAGATAGGAGCATGTGTGTGTGATTATGTCTGGCTGCCGTGCTCATAGAGACATAACCAGAGCATCACACCAACACAGTGTGAGATTTCAGCAGTCTTATTCTAATTAATTCATTGCTGTGGACACTGTGCAACATGGGTGAACAAACAGTATATAAAAGATGGCTTCCAGGTCTGAAAGGGGAAACCAGACGTGCTTTAAACTTGCATTCTAATCCAGCAGGGGTGACCTTTGGTTGCAAAAGAAGGCTGTTGGTATTGAAGTCTATGAGAAAATGAGTCTTTTGTAGACTTTGGTAAACACTTTCCAGATGAGTGTTATGTCTGGGTTTCTGTTAGCTAGTTTGTGGACTATGTTATTGGGCTTCTAATCCACCAATAAGTTATAAACACCGAGTCTGCCTTTATGTGTCTACGTCCTATAGAAGCTTGTTTTCACCAATAAAATGAATAAATAAATCAAATTGCCATGCAGCTAGCTGAGAAAAATTTAGGAGTGCATGCCTGTCTGATGTTTGTGTTGCAGTAAAATGATGCATAATGAATCATAAATACAGAGGAGCATGTGTTAAAAGAAGCACAACACAATAACTTTATGTTAAGTCTGCTATTTGAGTAAATGTACTTTCAAAACTGCTTTTTATTAAAACATTTCACTGGACTACGATTCATATCTAAAGGATCGGATCATCTGAATCACAGCAATACTATGATGTCATATGATGTGTGGGGTATCAAATTAGGAGACCTTATTTTAAAGGAAACAGCTTGCTGGATGTGTGAATGATGTCTTAGTGTGTGGATGGTGACATTGGTGTGCGTCAGTGTCTGCCACAGATACCCTCAGCCGATGTGAACATGGTGGCGTGCATTAGGGATCTCTCAAAGCGTCTGCGTCTCCGGGCTGATGGATCAGTTGTGTCATCCCAGTCCTCAGACTCACTTTCCCCAGTGGGCCCAGTCTCTCCAGAGGGGACGACGGCAGTATTGTCTGGGTTACTGTCTGCGGGCTGATGGTGGTGACAGCTGTGATGCCGACGATGTTGGAGTCTGTTCCTTGGGCGATGGGGAAGATTGTTAGTGTTGCCATAGTGGCAGTCTGCTCGACAGTGTATTTGGAAGACGATGGCGCACAGTGTGACAAGAAGGCCAACGCACACGCCGCCAAGAAACACAAGCGCTGTCCTCTCGGGCTGGTCTGTAAGAGAGGCAGGATAAATTAACAAATAAATTAACTGCTGTTTCATCCTTCTCTCAGTCCCTCCCTGCACAGTCTTTAGTCTTTATGTACTACGTTTTCAGACATCCCTCACCTGTCTGTTGTCTTTACACTGTTTCCACCTTCTGACCTCCACACATCTGTCTTTGAGCCAGTGGGCCAACGTCGCCGATCCCTTTTCAGCTTTCAATGCCAGAAAAATGTTTGACATGTTTGTATCTGCTTTGTGTTTTCTAGATCAAATTAATTTTAGTGCATGGGCCCTAAAGCCCCTAGTTTGGTCTCTAGAAGATCAGACCAGTGAAACCTTTTCCTTCTTTTATATAGTGTAAAAATGCATGTATGTTCCCATGTAAAAAGAAAAAAGAAATCAATAATAGGTCTTGCTTTTTTCAAAATGAGTCAGTCTACTGTTATTACAAAGAAATATTACTGCCGTAAATCAAAGAACCATCTTGGTTCAGTGTAATGTAACAGAGCAGCAGTAATATTTTTGTCAGTTAGAAAGCTGTGAAACATGTGGCTCAGATTAAACTAACAATGCAGACAAACACTCTCATGAACTAATCCTTTCTTCATGATTTGATACACAATCCATCCTATGTGGGAAAATACAGTCAAAGTGTGATAAATGATTCCTTTTTTTCTGCAGTTTTCACATGTTCTGAAGGCAGATGTCAAACTTTTAACAGACCTGTTCTTGCTCTTTGTTTCATACCCCTAGTAGGTTTATGTGCTAATATTATGTGCTAAGTTAAAGAAATTAGCACATAATATTTGCTCATCACATCAATCCCACATAAAAGCTTCTTTTTTCTTTCTTTCAATTGGACCTACTGTACCTGCAATGAAGGTGTAAGCAGCCAGTATGTTGCTAAGCAATGCCATCTCCTGGGACACCACCTTCACTTCCATATTTGGGCTTCCTGTTGTTGGAGCGCTCATGTTGTGGTTACTATTTTTCCTGCAGAAGTCAGTTCAGCACCTCATGATAAGGAGGATTTTCCCTGAATTCTTAAACCTGTAAATACCCTAAAACATAAGAATGAGAAACAAATTAGAAAATGAATAGCGTAAGTAACTTCAATAAGTCATGTACTAAAGCTAAACTACATTCATGTGAAAAAGTTTGTTTTCTCAGGACTGCATGCAATCCTCAGAAGAAGAAAAAACAAGTATACCCTCACTACAGGAATTAAGAGGGAAAGTAGCAAATAGGTGTTGCTAATCAAATGCACATGATTGATCGTCAGAAAATGTGAGCACCGCTATAGTTTTGCCAGTTTGCTGGTTGAGAGCATTTAAATGAGTGCTAACACAATGCAACGATCTTCCCAAGTGTGGAGGTCCCAGCAAATTCACCGAAGGCCATGCAATGCTCAGTGAAACTGCAAAAAAAAGAGTTACAGCTCATACTTTGCTGGCCTCAGTTAACATGATATTACATTTTGTGACAATACAGTTAGAAAATGACTAAGCAAGGCAGCAGGGCTTAGGTTTGCCCCACCTGAACAAACCTCAAAACAAACAATGTTGTTTGGACAGAAGAGACCAAAGTTGGAGATGATGTACAATAGCATGCTTGGTGAAAACCAAACATGCATGTCAGGGCAAACAACGCATGTGTCAAGCACGGTGGTGGAGGAGTGATAATTAGCCCTAAATCCTGGCCACAAATGGATCATGAAATAGAACAATGGTACCAAGCAGAGCAGCAAATCTACCACGTTTCACACGTTCATGTGAGCCAGTTGTCCGCATTAAAGTGAGTACAGGGGAAGGGTGGAAAATAAAGGTACCCCTGGTAACCCCTTTTCAGTTTATCAACAATCAAAACTGTGGCTTTATGGAGACAAGTCAAAGTGGTTAAACTGTCATTTAACAAATTAAAGTTAATCACAGAGGACTTTGAAAACACTGATGCCTTACCCATCAATCTGTACCTCCCTCCCAGTTTTCACCATCATTGTCAACATGCCTGAGCTGTTTTCCTGCAGCGTTTAAAAGAAGAAAAAAAACAATAATTAGGCATCCATACCTCAGATAATATTTTGTTTTTGGCACAAAAAACACGCATGTATTCACACATTCTTTTGTGCACTTAAGTCAGTTTTGCAATATCTGTGCAGCACACAGACATGAACACACACGATTTAGTGCAGAGCTCATTCACTTGAGAGAGGGTGTTTGGAAGTAAAGGAAAGCCAGCGTGGAGATTTTCAAAACCAAGTATTTTTTACACAAAACAGTTCATAGACGTGGACATTGTTTTAAACGTGAAGATTGAACATCAAGGATTTGATTCAGAATAATTTCTTACTTTGTCGACCACTAGGTGGCAACAAACAGCTGCGAGTGTTGCTGAAAGCTCAGGAGTTCAAGGCTTCCCATTAAGACTTTGCGAACCTGGCAACAGACTCAAGCACACATGCTGCCGTGCACCAGCTTATAACTGACAAAGCAACTTTAGTGCTGAAAAGCGCTCATTTCAAATGTGCTAAAGTTGCAATGCAGATGTGTGGAAAGAAAATAAAAGCATAAGAAGGTTGCAGTAATGTCTCAGGACTTAAACAGCTTGGCTGTAGCTCTGCATAGATGGATGTTTGGCTTTGAGCACACTGAATTGTAACTTAAATCACGTTAACTTTCAGCTTTAATGCTGTGCCTTTTAAAGCCTAAAAGAAGCACAGCCTAGAATCAAGCTCATGTTTTTGGCTTGCAGACAGTGCTATTCGTGCTTTTAGATTGTTTTAGTGTATCAGCCTGAACTACATCCTCCAGCTAAAATCTTTGCTGCTACCTAATATTGCAGCTCAGCCGAAGGGGACATTGTTAATGTTTAGTTCCTGTCATGCTGTCATGAGCATGAGTCTCTTCGCACAGACAGATGCGCTTCTTTTTACAGAGAAAATGATTTCTACATGAAAGGGCTTACAACAACGTTTGTTTTTGAGTAACCGATTTCTGGGAAGTTTATTTTCCCCCACATGTATTTTTTGTTTGCTTTGAAGAACAGTTCAGCCGGATGCATAGAATTACAGGCCAGAGCAAAAATAAATGTAGTGGTGGTGAATTGTTCCTTTAAATTGTCTACATTTACTCTACGGTTTATTACCGTCTCTTGTCAGTGAGCTGAAAACATGAAAGTGGTTTTTAACATGCGCACATTTGGCGCTGACCTGGAAATGTGCTTGTTTCAGAGAGACAGTCCATCAAGTCCGGGCTTCAGAGAATGTCATAAATTACCCACACTAACAAGAAGTGTAAGGGGGGTTTTATTTTTATTTTTATCTAGGCCACAGAATAGAGTGTATTATATACGGCCTTTGGTCTGGACATAAAGATCCAAACTTAGACTATCCGGGGCATTTCTTTAAGCTCAAGCATAAAGAGTATGACATGATGGTTGGTGTCATATACAGTAAGTGATGATTATTAAACACTGAAATGAGTAGCTAAATCTCAGGGGGAGAAATTATTAAGTTACAATAAAGCAATATTAATAGTAATTAATAGTAAGAAGAAATACAACAATAACTCTTTAGAATAACCAGCTTAAATTACAAATCATTGTGTTTGAACTAGTTTAGTTCTGTATTTAAATTTCATAGCCCCTGTGTTATCAGTGTTACTGAACTCAAAGCTCGAGTGGCTTTTGGTGTCATTTGGACAAAATAAAAAATTTGAATAAGCTTTCAGAATATTGTAATTCAAGTCTGAAATGGTCTGGACGTTTCTAAAATACTTTGCACAGTCTCGCCTGTTACAAAAGACTCACAGGTCTTTTCATATCAGAACAGATTATTTATGTTTCAGTGTTGGAAATAAGATGCAGTGGGTTAAACAGAAGACCTTCAGAGCACAGTTTATATCTTGCGTGAAGCCAAAAATCAGCTCTGACATGTTCCTAGCACATATGGAGGACACATATGGAGGACGTGCATTGCTTAAAGCGTAGAAGTATGACTGCACGAGTGGGCTGTCTATTCCAGCAGTGTTTTTCTTTTCTTTTTTTTTCTGTATTTCTGCAGACTGCAGTTTTAATGGTTCACATGATTCTTATAATGTGTATGATGGAGTTTGAATGACTTTACTTGTACAGCACCAAGAATAAACCTGTCCCCATCAGCTAGGCCATCTAATAAAAGCTCCCTCTTCCTAAAGATAATCCTAGAGTGTAAGAAAACTGAATTTATACATTAACACCCGCAGCCCTGCAGACATTTACAGTCTTGTTAGAGATAAATGAAAACTTGTGTCCTAAGATACTCTTATTCTCTGTAGCTGCAAAAAAATGATGACGATAATGATTAAGCAAAATTTCCAGAAATGACATATCAAATCTGAACAATGCTTAATGCTTACACAGAAAATGTGCAAAGCACCTCAGAAAGACTTTTCTTTTCTAGCATCTTCTTCAAATAAAATCTCGCTGTAAATAAACTTTATTTAATTTCATAAATGTGATTTCCCCACAGATTTAATACACGTTGTGTGTTCTCCATCAGATTACTTCACGAAGACTCTTTTCTTAATGCCAAACAACAGTAAAGATATCAGCCTATGAAAAGGCAGCGTTTATAAAAATGAACAATGACACTTTTAAACATGTAAATCTGAACTGTGTAGAAATACAAAGATGCCAAATACAGAATGTTGTGCTCTTGAGCTGCACAGCTGTAAAGACACGGCATTGAAATTTAAACTTGAACAGATGAAAAATGGATGAAGCTCTGAGAGAAGATCAAACTGGCCTAATTTCTCTGGATGTTTTCAGCTGTAAAAACGCTGAAGCGCAGTGCTCTTGACCTGTCGGGAGAAACTAAGAGGACACTAGAGAACAAATCTGCATTTTATCTGTCACGTTTCTGGAAATATGGGCCAAGCGAGAGTCATTTTTGTCCCCTCCTTACTTACTGTTAGGCATAAAAAACACACACCTCGCGCTTTTAATTATGTTAGAAAACAAACTGAAGAGTCGAAAAGCAACTTGTCATCACGGGACACACAGAAGCAAAGAATAAAAAAACAAAAAAGGCAAATCGCATTTCATTAAAGTGCAACATAACACGAGCAAACATAACACAACCTCCAAGCCCTTCTAAAGTCACTGACTGTCAGGGTCATTTTGTGATGTTGTGTGTAAATGCTGCAGGACGTGACTGCCCTTCTCTCGCCCACTCCCCTGCTTACTCTTTCTTTCTGTCTTTAAATATGACAGTATAGCTTCCTGTATGTTACAAAAAAAAAAAAATAGCATTATACCATCATTAATAATTTATAGTTATGGGTATTAATCACACCTTTTAAAAAAATGTAACACCTATCTACCTTCACAAACAAGCCGCGGGACAAAAAGCAGATGTTCATCAGTATTAGAGTTGAGTGGTGAATGAAAAGTCATGCAATAAATTCCTATCAGCCAGCTGATCGCCACAGTTATGTAATGACATTAGTATGAGACGGTTGGCCTGCTGCCAGCTCATTACAGTCAGTCACACTCTGTTCAGCAGTCTAGAAATAATAAGCTGTTTACTCTGATGACTCAACTACATGCGAAAGGCTTTTTCTCACTCTGTACTTCACAGTCGGTCGATCGCACTGCAAAACTAAGATTTGCGATGCTCTTCTTTGCTTTCTTCCTTAAAAGCACTTTTTTTCTGATTGTTTGTCCAATAAATATGAAGCCCGTAGGGAACCCGAAGTCCTGCAGAACCATTGGATCAGTGCTCTTGTGTGCATGTGAATGTGAAGTCGTACAAAGGCGTGGCAGTCCTTTGGGCACTGTTCACAGATTTAGGCAGTGGCCGGTCTTTCAGTCAGGCTTTTTGCACTTGTGCGTGCCATCTTTCGTCTTTTCATCCCACTGAAGCAGATGTTTTTCTTTGAAGCTCTCCTGACCCAACTACATTTCAAGCATTTCAAGTGACCATGTCAATATTGGCGGCTTTATGAGCATGTTTGTAGCTAATATGTCTTTGTGGTGATGGTGTGGCCGCCCTGGTGAGTGTTTCTTCAAGGTTCACAGAGGAGGTATTTGGGGATTCAGCCATCTTCTGTATGGTGCACATGATCAGAGAAAGCCTAGTTTCTGGAGGAGTGTTGCTTAGGGCAAAACATCTCTGGTGGGAACTTTTTCTTTCCAAGAAATGCAGAATACTCAATGAACGCAGTGCACGTACAAGGCATGAAATTCCTTCTGCTGATGTGGAAGTGTTCATGTGAGGTTCATGTGCTCACCACACTTTTTGTTTACCTTGCAAGGTCTTTTTTCATACTTATTGAATTGTATGCTGATATGTTAGAGACATTCAACATTTCAGCCCTGGATATTTATCTTTTTGATGCTGATCGTTAGAATAAAGTGCCTACATGACCCCCACAGCATGCAGTGCAAGAGATAGGACACCAGTCCATCAGTTATTGGAGGCAGTTTTTGGCAATCGTGGGACACAGCTGGGACACAGCTCCCTCCTCCCAGACAGAGGAGTTAGTGGAGTTAGCCAAGGACTGGGCATCTGGCACACAAGAGCAATGGTTGGCCATCACTGCTTTTTAAACAGTACATGCTTGAGTTCTTGATCTCCTTTTAGATTACTGGATGTCCATGATGCTTTCACTGCTTTGACTGGGTTTCAGCTTTATCCCCTCAAATAGGTCGACTTTAACCTATTTGATGCCCACATCTGCTCCCACTGTATTCGGGAGCAGAGCTCAGGCATTACCTACAAGGGCGGCTCTAATCGCTGTGTTGTGCCGACAAGAAATTTAAAACACATATTTAAACTTTAACTGAACCATTTTTTATTTTCCTAAACATTTGAACATTTTTGCCCAAAGTATTGGATAACAGAGGTGAAGCCGACAGAATAAAGTGTGCTTTTCTTCAGGTATTTTGTTGGGCAGTTATTCCCAGCTTTGTTCGGTGACGATGCTTCAGTTTGTAAGAATAGGTGTGGCAATCAATGGCTACCTATGGCTCAGTCATTTACTCTATGGGGATGCAAAGTTTCAGTGATCACATCTCTGTGTGTCACTGCAGTCCATACATGTGATACCTTTCCCAGATATTATCCAGAGTCCACAGGGTTATATTTTAAATCTTTTTAGTCCCATCACTGCAATGAAAGCAATAAAGGCATATATCAAGCTCCTTATATATTAATTTTTTTCGAGTGAAGTCTCCTAGACTCCAGCCCGAGGTGTAAAACATGTTGCGCCTTTGTTTTCATACACACTGATGCTCTTCTCTCTTTTCTTTTTTTGCATGTCTGGCCAAATTCTTATGTGGCACAATAGCTCTTTGTTTTCCTCCATGTGGTTGAGAAAACTATATAGTTCCTCCGACCCGTGGTGTAGTCCACCACGACACTAACAGAACATACAAAAGCTCTTCCTGCACAGGCTCAATCCTCCACATCATGCTCATCACACTTTAAGCATATTTCTTCCCCCGTGTGTGTGACTGCTGATACTAATCTAACGTGACACTGGCCTTTCCCTCTGCTGCTGCACCGGAGCGAGAGTGTGCACGCAGATTTAGAAAAAAAAACAAAAACGGAAACAAGACAGAAAATTAAAGAAAAGAAAAAAATTACTTGGCGGCACAAAGAGTAATTATATGGAGGGAAAAGTAATCGAGCAGTGAGAAAGACAGATTTGAGACTTCCTACAAAATCATAATAATTATAAGCAGATATAAAAACCAGCAGTGGTGTCACCATGAGCAGTTATCAGCACATGTAAATAAAATGTTTGTACTTACATGTTAATAATGTGAAGAGCCCATCTGCTCTCCTGTCCTCTCATTCCTCCTTTCCTCTTTACTCTGGTCTTCTCTTTTCTCCTCCTCTCGGTACTCCTCTACTCTGTGCTCGACTCTCTCCTCCCCTTTTTTCTCCTCTCCTATTATCTCCACTCTTCTCTTTGCCTTTCTCTCAAAGAATACCAAAAGAAGACTAACAGTACAATTATAAGTATAAATCTCCTCTGCCCTCCCACAGTTGTCAGACAGGCCCAAAAGCCTCCGTCTCCTCTTCTCTTTCTTATGTAGATACAAATTAAAAATGTCAGTCATTCTCCTTTCATGCCCTCAGTTCTTCTTTCTTTAATGCCGTAGCAGCAGGAGGAGAAGGTACACTGCTCCGACTGTTTTCCAGAGTGCAGCTTTCCTTTATTCCGTTTTAGTTTTCTTTTTAGAGCGAGACATAGGTCAGCTCCTCGGGGCAGAAATGTGACATGAGAGACCCCGACAGGTCTGCCGAATCTCTCTCCTCTCTCTCCCTTTCCCAAACGTCTGCATGCCCTCCTCTCTGACTCTGCTGCTTTTTCCTCTTTCGCTCAACAACGCACACACAGCAGGACACATGTGCAGTTATAAATGAAGACTCGCTGCCTCTCCTCATTTGCTCTTGGTCTGTTTTTCATGTGGAGCGCTCAGCAGGAGGGAGGAGAGAGAAACACTGAGGAGAGGAGAAGAAGAGGGACAGTGGGGCAGGAAACCAAGCAGAATACAATATTTCATGTGCAGTGTTGAAAAAAAAGTGCTATAATTTAGACGCATCACATGAAATTTCAGAAAATCACATCACGCCTGCACCCTGTAAAGCTAAGCTTTTTTTAAATGTGTAAATATATATATATATTTGTATATATAGTCACTAATCAGTAAAAGAGGCATGAGATAAAATTCAAAACTGAGCAGCACAGTGTTTCACATGCGCAGAGATGACAGTGAGTGGCTGTGACAGATGAGGATTTCAGTCACCTGTGAAGTCACCTTCTCACTGCATGGGCACACTTTGGATATTATTATTATTATTATTATTATTATCATTATTATTATTATTATTATTATTATTATTATTATCATCATTATTTATTTATACTGCAGTCGGACCATGTGCCCTTACAGTAATACTTATAGCTGATATTTTAGCACCAAATCAACACTTTTATAAAAGATCAAAAACAACTTTATATCAGATTAACACTGATGAAAATTTCATTAGCTACCCCATCAGCTTGGCAGGTTATTTTTGTGCTGATGTTACGCAAGGGGAAAAGTTTGAAAAACCCTCGAGGGCTGTGGTTGGGGAGGGTGACTGAGTTAAACAAGGTACTAAGCACTCAACAGGTATGTAGGGAAATAAAAACATGCAGTGGTATCGTTGGTAAACCTTTGCTCTTAGTTAAAGTTACTGTTACTGCTATTAGTCATGTTAACTCTGGACAAAGATGCTGGCTTTTCACTTCTTCAGAAAGGTGCCAGACTTCCTAACGTGCAGCAAAACAATTCTGAGTGTAAACAATAAAACTCAAACTTGTTCAGGCAGCCAGCTGTAGTGCGCTGCTGCACACTCATATGACACTCATCTCACTGCAACACTAGTCTTACACACCCATTAAATCACTGAGGTATATTTAAGCTGTCAGTATTTTGCTCATTCTTTTGCTGCGTGTCTGTGCAGACATGGTTTAAGCCTTTCACCCAGACAGGCTCTCCAAGATGTGTACTTTAACCTGAACCATGACCTCCTCATCCTAAACCTCATGCTACATAGTTTTATTGCCTAAAATCGACCAGAGAAACCTGAAAAGGTCCAGAAGTCAAACTTCTACCACTGCCTGCAAAAGGTCAGAAGGTCATGACTATATCATTGATAAATAACAGGCAGTTGATGCTTACAGATAATGACATCATCACTAAAAGCCAATCCAGTGGTCTTGTGAACCCCCACCTAATGCTGACCATATACCGTATATAAAAGATATGTGAGTGGAGCTACACCTTGGTTCTTTTTAAAAGCCAGCAGGGGGCGAATTGAAAGTCTACTCTTTGTAAATTATGGTCTCAGCTGGAGACCAAAAGCAGGATGTGACAGGTCAGATATGCAGACATGAAAAAGAGCCCAGAAGTTTTAGAGTATTTCTCACAACTAGTTTAATTAATACACATGTGTCTGTGGGAAAACAGGTGCTTCCACAGGGAAGTCTTAAAGTACTGTCATGTTGTTGTTTGGATCCTTGTTTTCTGTTTTATTTCTGTTCTTCTTTTAATATTATTTAGAAGTATTCTCCCCAGTGTTTCTGTCATCCATCCCCTCGCACTATTAAATACATGTTTTCTTTTGTTTATGAGGTGTTGATAACAACCAATTAACAGTTTGCTTTTCATTCAAATTATCTGCATGTGCTGCATTTAGGAATTCTGTGTTTTTCGGTTTTCGTTAGGTGAACCACACCCTTGTGACATTTGGTTTCAAAAAACTAAAGCGGATACCACAAAAAAGTTTAAGTCTTCACAAACAGGACTTTGCAAAACACTGGGTGATCCTTTTTATACTTTTATATGCAGTCTGTGATGCTGTTAATAAGCTAATATTTCATGGTGGAAATATCAGAATTGCTCCTGTTGTATTTTGATCCCTGGGCCTGAATATTGGTCAAAATAAGATAAAAACGGAAGAAATGTTAATGCATCAGCAAAACCTGTTACAAATCTGAAGATCAACCCAGTGCTGCAATATACAATCCAACAGTCCAAAATGCTGTTGATCCCCTGGAATCCACAAAAGTTTGACGTGAAAAAGTTTCATGGCATTTCGGTCTGAAGCGAAGATATGGAACGCCTGGTAGCACCTACATGGCTACAAGTAACTGACAACTAAAATTCATTTTATTTGGTCTGTTTGTCTCTTCATGTTTGTTTTACATCATCAGGAGCTGCATGAATAAATGATGTGCATGCACAGAATGCATGCCTACAGCTTTTCTCCATACATAAGCTGGTTTTCATAAAGAAAGAGTGTGCACTGAGGGTGAGTGTGTCTACCTCAGGCCTACTACTGACCATGCATAACCTTTTTTTTTAGATACAACACAACATCCTGTTTCATAGAGCTTGAGCTTATATTTGTAGTCTATTGCATGTATGTTTTGCATTCATGCGCACACTCACCTGTATTATTAGGTGTGATTTACCATTTACGAACTTATTTCTCAGTGATACAAACAGATGTTACAGTGGATTATGCTTTTTTTGTCTTTTAGTCCAAGTGCTGACTGTTACAGGCCTTAGCTCTGCACTTACACATGTGATAGGCTCAGTTTCACTTCTGTGGTTTCACATCTAAAACAAAAAAAAATCGAATTTCTATTTCTCCACTTCTGTCAGGAATATCTGTTTCAGATTTGACACAACCGTGTTGTCGAAAATTTGCTGGATCTTTCCGTTGCTCTTTGTAAAACTGCGATCACGTTTTCCGTTCTACGCCCACACGTGCACAAGTTATTAAATCAGCATCTTCACATTTCTGTAATTCTTTAATGGCTTGTTTAACACTTAATATCACACAAAAGCCTTGTGTTACTGGTTGTGTTCAGGTCTGCACAATCTGAAATCTCAGCACATTTACATGCAAACTCCCCTCTCTTGCACAATTACTGGAGAGAAATAAATAAAATGAATCCACGCATCTTTTTTTCCTTGCCACATGTGAAGGTTATTTATAGCGCTGATATAGCAGAATTAAGGTTAATAGATATTAAATAAACCAAGCATCGCCTTATGTTTGCGATTTTAATGTCTAAACATTGTTCTTTTTGCAGAATACACAACACACAGACCACTTTAAATCCATAATGCATGTATTTCTGCACTTCCTGCTCAGGGTGCTGAAATATTAACTCTCTTTAAGCCGTGGAGTGTTTTCTGTCAGGAATTATTGTCAACCCTCTTTGAAATAGCGAGGGACGGGAGCTGTGAGTTTCAGGTGCTGAGGGGGGACGTTGGGTCTGCGCCACGCTGGGGTTTTTGCTCCACTGGTGCTTCACTTCATTATTTAAGAAGCTTCAGGGGTGAAATTTCAGGTCAGTGTAGGCAATCTCATCTCAGCACATCAGCAAAATGAAACACCATCAACTTCATCATAGATGGGAGTAATTCATATTTACTGATCAATATAAACACAAGTCGGCCAAGCTAAAGATGTCCCAAGATTCGCGTGTGCTGGCTTTGGTTAACCTGGACATATTCAGCGGTCTTTTGGCTCTTAACCTTAAACCCCAAATGGGCCACAAATCTGTACTTTCAGCTTTACAAATGACTAAACAATTTCATAAAACAGCTGGGTACCTTAGCTTTAGTGGGAACTATTTTCAGATGTGCACTAACACACATTTGAGCAGTTTGTAAGTTATTGGAACAGATTAACATCTCACCGAGTGCTGCACTGATGTGTTTAAAGGCATTTGTGGAAACAGTTTCATCGTTTCCCACTACAGAAAAAATAACCTGCCGTGAAGTAAAGTTTGCTTATCGTTTTTTATGCGTTTCTGTGGGTGTGCCACTGATTTTGGGCCCACTGTGATGGAAAAATGACAACTTTTGCGAGGCTTGTTGTTCCAATTTTGGTAATGATTGAAAAAAAAAAAATAACAATCACAACCTTAATTCAGTTCAACATCAGTTCATCGACAGCGTTTAGGTGAGTCCTCAATTTATTTATTTATTTTATTTTTAGCTAGGCGTCATGTTCTGATGAACATGATCAGAAATCAACACAATAGCAAAAAGCTGATTTGTGCTCGTTTTGGTGGAGAGTTTCAGTGTTTTAATGTCTAGGAAAAGACCTGTATGACGTGGACGTGGTCTTTCTCTTTCACCCTCTTGTCTGTCTGCTGCTTCAGGGCACCTTTACTCAGTGTAGGTTTTTGGTCAGGACACAAATCCCTCATTATTTCTGTGTTTTCTTTGTGAGGGTATTTGTGTGTATGTGTGTGTTACATAAGACAACTGTTCATGTGGTGATAATCAAATCATTCCCATGACTAACTCAAGTGGAACTGAGGGCCTCTCAGACTCATCCTGTATGCAGATGTCACTCTCTCCCTCCACGCTCTCTTTCTGTCTCCATGTGTGTTTATTCTCCTCTGTCTCTGTTTTTCTCCTCCCACCTCTAAACTGTTCTTTTCTTCTGCTTTGCTGCACTTTTCTTTTTCACTTTGTCTCATGCACACTCTCTCCCTCTGGCTCTTCATTTGCCATTTCTATTTCTGTCTGCCTCTGAACCTTTACTATACCTTTTTCTATAAGGAAAAAATCCTTTAAGAGTATCTTGAAGTCAAACCAGCCTCATGACTGACCTTTTTCTCATAGCTGACATACACTCACTACTCACTTGTGCCCCATTTTTCCTTTTAAATTGCCTTCCTTCTTCATGCAGTAGTTTCAGCACGGTTCTGAAAACATTCCTCTGAGATTTTGGTCCATATTGACATGGCTGCATCTCACAGTTGTTGCACATTTGTCAGCTGCACACCCATAATGACAAACTCCTGTTCCACCATGTCCCTGTGGTCATAGAGATGGAAATGGGAAGCATAAAAAGCAGCCTGAACGTTTAATACAAGGCAGGAGCCATGCTTGTGTGTTTTTTCGCCAAATTCTGACCTGACCATGCAAATGTCACAGCAGAAATTGAGACTCCTCAGATCAGGAAGCGGCCTCCTAATTTTCCATTGTTCAGTTTTGGTGTTCCTGCATGAACTTACAGGTGTGGTTGTCTGCTGCTGTAGCCGATCTGCTTCAAGGTTTAAAGTGTTGTGTGTTCAGAGGTGCGATATTTGAGTTACTGTTGCCTTTCTATCAGCTTCATGCAGGCTGTGACCTCTGGCACCAAAACAAAATGCTGCTCACTGGATATTTTCTTGTTTCTAGAGATGGTTTTGTGGAAAAATTCCAGTAGATCATCTGAAGTACTCAGAACAGCCTGTTTGGCACCAACAAACATCCAATATTCAAATTCACTTATCTTGCTGCCATGTGATTTATATGTTAACAAGCAGCTGATGAGGTGTAACTAATGAGGTGACCTGTGAGTGCATATATTTAGAAATTTAAGTAAACATTAAAAAAAAAAATTTGTTTATTGTAAACGTCTTCTTTTGGCCAACCTGCAGTACCTACACAGGCTGTGGCAGGACTGGAGATACCCACGACAGCAAGAACCACCACAAACGTCAGTGTATGCATTTTGGCAAGCTATTACAGCTTCTTTTATTTTACTGAATATGTGAATTTTAAATTGGGTCACCTTCACTAAACACATTCCGTCTATTGTCTTCTGCTTATCTGAGGTTGGACCGTGCTGGAAGCATGCTAAGGCAAGGAATTCCAGACATCCTTAACCCCAGCCACACTCTCCAGTTGGGAGAAGTACACAGGGCAGTCAATGTACGTGTCCATTGAGTTCTGGGTCTCCTCTGGGATTTCCACCGTTAGGTGTTCCAAGGTTTTTAAGATGTGGAACGCCACTGTCACAAAATGCAAACATTTGACTGATTTTTCAAGTGAATCGTATTTGTATTTAAAAATAAATAAATAAAAATCTTCAGGCAATGCTATGACACTTAAATAAGTATAAATTACATTTAATCCCTTTAGTTATATCATCACATATCCCGCTGCATTAAATGCATTAGTAGGTAGAGTTCAGCTGACTTTCTCGACCCAGTCACGCAGCCGTGTGTGTTGCTGTCATCTCTTCACAGACCCACTCAGCGTGGTTACATAATGGCTGCTGCTCCTGTGGCCCCAGAGCCAGTGGAGGGTGAAGAAGGACTTAATGAGAGCTATTGGTGCGCACTGACAACTCTGCACTGAACTCTACGGACTCTGTGGCCGGACACTACGAGAAACCAGGCAAACCAAGAGTTAACTACCCCCCAAAAATATATATTTCACTTGTTCAAACATGAGAATTTATCTTCAAATCACGTCCGGCTTTATGAAAACTGTAAAATCTGTTGTAGTTTAGTAAAAAATGCTGCACATAACACTGTAGTTGGAAAAAGCACAACAGCAGGATGGTGTGCTCAACTGCATAGTCTGCAGGAGGATGTTCACTCACAGTTTAGTTATTTTAATTGGTCCTTTTTGTTTGACCGGACAATTAAATTGACAGTTTGATCACTTTTAATATCTTTAATTTGCTTTAAGAAACCCTGATACAGCGAGTGCCATATAAAGGCCAAGGTGAGTACAAACAGCAGGTTACAGAATCCGGTCAGCTGTGAACAGGCAAGTCAGGGTTAGAGAGGTCATAAACTCAGCAGTCAGTGCAGGAGGCTGAAAATGAAAGAGGAAAACAAGCTTTCACAGCCCTACGCAGACGAGGAAGTCTCACACCTTCCACAAATTAAAAAAGAAAAAGAAAAAAAAGAACAGGAGTTAACAACAAGACTTAAAAACAACCTCGTTGATTAAAAAATAAGGGCAACTCAGTGGAGTACAAGAGCACAAAATATCAGACCTAAGAAAACAATGAACAACTTCGTCTCCTTACAGTAAAACTCAATCAAGGGGGAAAAAATGTATATGAATCCATTTCCACACATGCACTTCAGCGCTGGACGTCTAGACATCACCCAGCAGAGGTGAATGAACAACACAAATATCTGATGCAGTCGGATCAGACGTTAGCTCGTCTTTACTTTTCTTGTGTGCTCCCAAGTAAAAAGTCTATGTGACGCTGGACTGAAGTTTGCACCTCTGACCCAAAAGGAACATTTCCACATTTCCAGTAGTGCGAATGCATCTGAAGCAGACCATTTCCTGCTGTGTGCTACATGTGAGAAAGGAAGTCTGTGGAAAATATTCTGACTGGACTCAGAAGTTCATGTGTGGAAAGTCTTAAGATACTGAGCCGGCTTTCTCACAAAACAAACTCAGCGATTACCGACCGATTCTCCACGATGAAACAGAAAGGCGCTCTAAACTTTGGATAGTCACACGCATAAATTAAGAAATAAATACAACACATTTCGTTTAAATGCAGAGTTAGAAAATAATCTGAGCACACCGAGTAAGAGTAAAAACAACAACAACACAAATACGCAGCTTTTACACCCTTTATCTTTGTAGCGTCTTCATGGCTGACGTTCGTACGCGCCAACTTTAACTTTTTGAGGTCACAATATTACTGTAAGCAGGCAGGGACGAGAGGGGTGAGCCTTAAAATGTGTCGGCAGTTTGAAAAAGCATAAAAAAATACAAGTGGGAAAATACTGTTTGTTATTGCTCTCGATCTGAGTTACTTCAAAAAGTTAACGCCATCAAAACTGTTTGCATAAAAACACAAAACTCTCACCTTAATCATCTTAAACTCACTTGAAATTACTCGGCCGTAGCTGATTTCACACGTTAAAGAAAAAGCAAAAATAGTCTACAGTCAAGCCCAGCATCATCCCAATGAAGAGTAAATTATTTTAATCATATATTTAAAAAAAAGGTCAAAAATGACTTTTATTAAGGCAAGAAGTTGTATCCTCCCAAAGTTGCAGGATCTGTTCGCTTCTCTATCGTTATACTTCTATTCTCCAAAGATATGTACTCACGAATCCCAACATACACACAAAACAACAAAACGAGTGTTCAGTGTTGCTACAGTGACACAGACTCAACCCAGAACAACGTATCCTGAGATCTACAGTAGTAAACTGACTTCAGACCAGCTCTACAGACTTATTCTCCAAGCTGTCACTGTCCATCATTTGCCATCTACTGTCTCTGATGTCACTGTGAGAAGTGAGCCCAGACAGTTTATGATTGGCGACAGCCACAAAGCAGGCCAGCAAAGTCTCTAAAAAGCAGTCAGTCATGATCTCCTCAGAAAAAAAGAAGAAGAAAATAATATAAAGAGTCAACTTGTATCTCTTGACAGTTAAGATAAAACACTAGTTAGTTCAGTGTCTCGTTTAATGGCCTCGGCTGAGCAGACTTGGCAAAGTGAATACTTAATAAAAACCGACTGAGATACAGAGCTCTGAGAGTCTAAAGGAGAGCACATGTAGTTTTATTGCTTTGAATTATCTGCTTCTCAGCAGCTTTTGTCTGGTCCTAACTCCATCTGAAGGTTGTAAATTTTACATAGGACTCGCATTCAACTGTGGGACACACCAAGTCTCCATACTGAGCAGGTGAACAAGTTTCCCTTTCCATCTAAAGTCATCCCGAGGAACAAAAGATGAGCTCCAATTCCTATTTCGTGGCTTGAATTGTTGAAAGGCCATCTCTACTGCAGGACTTGGATGACATCAGAAGAGGTATTATTACTGCTGGTTAATATTAAATTAATTAAGGCTTGATGAATGAGACCGTCTCTCCTTACAGCTTAGAGGAGAAACCGTCTTAGTTTGTTAATGTGAAAACAAGCAGCCTTTTAAAATTTGGTTAACTGTTCTTATTTGAAAGTCTCTACAGAGGATGTAGTTTCTTGTTTCAGTTCTTCCTTTGCGGCTACTTGTGTCCATAGAGCTGTAGGTCGAGCTGGACCCACACTTCCCCTGTTGGGACCTCGTGCAGCAGAAGCCGACGCGTCGCTGGTCCCTTGTTCTCGAACTCTTTCTTTATGGTCGCCACTGGAACCTCGGTCCGGCCCAGGAACTCTGACACGAGAAAACAGAACAGCACATGAGTTCGGAGGAAGTTATATTTATTTATTTTTCTGTTTTTTAAGAAGAAAACCATGTTTAACTTTTTATACTTTTTGTAATTATCCTGTGTACAGTTTAACTAAAATATTCACCAACAACAGCCAACGTTTAACCAGTGGGGGTGTTGAGACAGTTTCAGTGACACATGGGATGCTCTTTTAATATTTCTTTTAAACCCCACAGCAGTGTGTTCAACTAATTTCACACAGTCCCCCCGATTGATCCATGTGCTGGTGTGGACCTCTGACCTCGTGTTTGACACTCCCACCCTACACCCATGTCTTAAGAGGATTTGTCATTCTGCCACTGAATAAAATAACCATTTATCTATTTTCTACAGCTTATTCGTGTCATGGGGGCAGGAGGCACACCTTGCCCCCCCTGTCTCTAGCTACCTCCTCAAGCTTATGTGAGGCATTCCCAAGCCAGAGCAGAGAAATAATCTGTCAGCTGTGTCCTTGGTTTGTCCTGGGGCTACGTCCTGGTAGTTCACTGTGGCGGGGTGTGGTTTGTGGCTTAGCTGCAGGGAGGGGTGGAGCAGTGGGCTCAGAGAGTGTCAGGGGAGGCTGGGAACAGCCAGTAATCATCATCTAATCATGCCTCCTCTATTTCAGGAGGATGCCGTGACCCGGAGAAGAGGGCAGTCCAGACAGGAAGCTAATGCTAACAAGCGTGCCGACCCAGCTCAGAGGGGAGAGTTGCTGGAAAGTGACTCAGTTGTAGATGAATTTATAGAGAAAATTGCCGTAAATAAATACTTAGCTTGCTCCATGACATGTGTTGGGTTCTCCATTTCATAGTTTGTGTTCGGGAGGCAACTTAATCAGACGACTTAACCAGCTCCAGCTATCCACAACCTTAAACTTTCAGTCGTGACTCAGAGATAGTGACCGTAGGTGAAGGTGGGAATGTAGACTGAAGTGTAAAACAGCAGCATTACTTTCACGGCCAGTTCTCTCTTCACCACAACAGACCGGTACAGCATCCACACTAATCTCCCACTCCACCCTCTCCTCACTCAAAGACAAGACCCCCCAAGATACTTTTCTGCACTTGGAGCAGCAGCTCATTCCCAACCTGGAGTGGGAACTCCACTGTTTTCTTACAAACAAGTGTTAATAATAATTTAATTTGTATACATTTACACCATAATCTAACTATTTTATGGGCTTTTAAGGAAAGAGTTCTGAACAAACTTTAGCAATATTAATAAAATGAAATAATGTAATTAGCCGGTAGCTAACCGTCTGGTGAAAACTGGTCTTTTTCGTTGATGGCAATGCAGAGGACGTCCTGGTAGATGTCTTTGATGTGAAACTGACAGTTGAAGTTCCATTTGGGGTTCAGGGTGTCGTTGATTACTCTGGATGTGAAGATCTGAGCTCCCATGGTCACTTCACAGTAAGGGTTACTTTTACCTGCAGGAGGGAAAGACAGCAGACAGGCATGAGGAGGATGTAAGAGCAGGTAAAGAGAAAGCAAGTTGAGGATTGATTCAGATAATCAAAAAAAAAAAAAAAAAAAAAAAAGGAAAAAGGAGAGTCAAGGAAAAAAAGGAAGAAGTAAAAATAAAAGTGTAAAAGTATAAAACAAAGAAACAAAAAGAAAAGAAAAAAAAGCTGATGATTTGTTTTTAGTGCATTCATGCTCACCGTTGGGTTTTGCTGCCTTGAGTTCAGTGGCTTCTAGGATGGTGACGAGCAGTCTGCCGATTCCACTGCCTTTCATAGAGCGTGCTGTAAACACGTGCACAGAAAGCTTAAATGATTGTTTGAGATTATCGCGTTTAGGTGACACGAATGTGGCTCTTGGAGTGTAGACACAAACCTTGATAAACCTTGTCCCTTTTTTTCTTTTCAGTCTCAATAAATTCCTCAGACGCCACCTTAATCTTCTGAACCCACGCCGTCCTGAAAAAACACAAACACGCAGGAATTCGTACAAGCCACTGATTCACTGGCACATTTCTCTGTGCGTACGCCGACGTGTGCACATACCGTTCATTAATGTTGTCTGTTCTGAGCATGTAGACTTTGTCAATGTGTGAGATGTGGAAGATGGGCTCATCGCTGGAAGGATCTGGAAGCTTGACCAGAGCTTCGTTCAGGAGGACGGGCTACAGGAAACACAAGATGAAACACGGTCGGGCACAAACACAAAGTCTAACGTTGCCTCAAAGGAGATTTCCACTCGTGTGCATCTCTTACTGGTTTGTAGATCTTTAGCTGTACGTTATTCTTGTTGCTGAACAGTTTATCAGGTCCAGATGAGGTGAACTGTTTAGCCGCGTACGTTAAAAGCAGGAAGTCGTTGAAGAGGAAAGCCCAGAGTTCCTTGCTGCTCTTTGCCTTGTACAACTGTGACGATAGAGTGATACACCCGCACATGTATGATTAAACACTTAAAAAACTAACAACATTAACTGATTTACTTTCGCAAATCTTCAGCAAAACACGACTTTAAATTATTTAAAGCTTACTGGTGTCTGAAGATTTTACTTTGTGGTATGAGGCTTGTAACCAGTAACACTACTTCCTGGGATTTGAACCATTAAGTTTCAAATTTCATCATCCGTTATGCCCCATCCTGCCAGCCAATATGAGAACCTGCAGTGAAACTCACCTTGCCGCTGTGGAGCAGTTTTCTGGGGCCCAAACAGTTGGTAAGGGAATTAAAGACCAAATGCTGTAAAAAGCGAGAAAGTTTAAAACAACGTTTCAATGTTTTCACACAAAGATCCATGAAGGAAAAACCGTAAATCTCAATACCTCGACAGGACCGTCACAATTAACGTGGCTCTGAATCCACTCCAGTCTGTCGGAGTTCTCCTTCTCTCTTACACCCTCGTTCACCTGCACAAGGTAATCGCCCAGAAACACCACATCAGATTCTTTCAACCACAACACGGAGACTTTCTAATTAAGCGACTCACTGGGTTCATTAATAAAGGAAATGATGATCATAAAAACCTGTTTACAGAGCTCCTCCGCCCTCTCCAGCGCCTCTTTCAAAGGACCTCGGTCAGCATGACCCTCTGCAGTGCACTCCAGGATCTGCACAAGTAAATACACTAATAAGCTAATCGTGCTCACATTTGACGTTAATTTTATTAACAACTATTTTCCATCACTGAAGAGTGTCTTTCATTGGATACTCTGTCGATGAACATGCACTGCAAAGATATTGGAGCGTAATTTTGACTACTTCTGGCAGTGGAAGCTGATACCTGGTGCAGAATGAGAGCTTACCGTGATAACTTCTGATCACGTCCCTGAATGTAAAGCTCTGGCTGAAAATACTCTCCAGGGAGAACATTCATACTTAAAGTAAAAGTATCGTAGAACTGGAAAAAAGCGCTTGCATAGTCCGTCACTCTCCACACCCTTATAAATTCTGTTTTTGTATATTAATGTGAGTCTAAATATTTAAAACAGCTAACAATAAAATAATAGATACAATTATGACAGAATTTATAAAACAACCAGAAAGTCAAATGCAGCCAGTTAAGGCCACACTTGAAAACGATGGCCTACGTTTTTGATGTGCAGTGGGTAGCGAGTGATCCTCTGCATTGGTTTCAGCAGGAAGCTGGACAGCGGCATTCCTTTACACCTGTAGTCTGTGGCGATTTTCTAAGAGAAAAAAGACAACATTAAAAGATTAACAGATACATTCTTGTCTTTCAACAAAACCGGAACCCCTAAAATTCCCAAACTCTAAATGGAAAACATGAAGCTCTCATTGGAAGCGGACAGGATGTGGGAATCCCTCCTACCCTCATGAAGTCCTTAAAGTCTGAATCATTGTCAGTGCGAGTCTGCAGCAGTGTGGCGCCGTTGAACTGGGATGAGCAGAAACGGATGTAGGGCTGCATGTGGGACAGCTCGGCAGCCAGGATATCTCCAATCATCCCCACTGGATTGTTCTCTCCACCCGTCTTCTTACGAACGCGGAGCGCCCTGCACACATACACAAGACAAACCCCCAACATGCTTTTTTACACTGAAAAAAAATCTGCACAAACACTCTTCACAGCATTTCCTCACGCTATCAGAAACACTGTCGCCTCTTCTCTGCCCACAAGGTATTTACTTGACAAATTTTGAGTTGCAGGCCAGCAGTTCCTTCCAGTTGACAAAAATCATGCTCATCTCTGACTCATTCAGCCGGCCCGACGCAGACATGGGCTTGCAGAAAACCTACACAAGCAGAGGAAAAAGCCACAAATATTACAAAACACACCAAGTCCCAACTCACACACACAACACCGTAAGAACTGCAGCGTGTAACTTTTCTTGGTGTGATTTTTGAGAACGCTACTTTTTGCTTTTACATGTATTATTCAGCAGATTTGTGTGAAATTACCTCCAGCACTATCTGCAAATCTTCCACATATTTTTCCTCAGTTTCTATCAGCTCATGGATGTAACCTTGCCTCTTCTTCTCTTGAGGGCTCAGTGAATCCAGGCTGTTCAAGTCCGCACACCCTGCAAAACAGGAGCAACACCCAGAGGAGAGGTTTGCATGAAAAAGAAAACCAACCAACCAGTCCATCCACTTCAACAAAACCCACAAATGACTGCTTGTACCGATAGCCCAGGTTTGCGTTTACTGCCTCCTGCTGGAAGTGTCTGCACAGGAAAACAAAAATGATTCCTCCTCTGTACCCTCTCATACATTACTTTCAGAAAGGTTTAAAAAAAAGCAGGTGGCAGACGACAACCGTCTAACACACACTTACCTGATACAGGGCGCCCATTCATCCACTGTGAGGATCCCATGCAAACTGACTGCTCATCCCCTATAAACTCCTTTCTTTCCTCTCCCTCTCTTGTTTCACTCTCATCTGCTGTGTCATCCCAAAGGTTTAGAAAGTGAAATCTGTTCTGTGAATCCATTGCTACGACTGATTGTAGCTGTCTGGCTGTTCGCTCAGTGTGATTGTACTCTGTCTCTCCTGTCAAGTTTGGCTCTTTCTGTGCCGTTATCTTCTTGCTGGGATAAATCCGTTTGTACCAAAACAGGAAAGGGAGTCCTTTTTTTTTTCTTTCCCAACCTTGAATTGGGGGGGGGGAGAAGGTGGATAAACCTGACCTTCTCCTATTTTTCTGCACCTTCATCCATTAATAAGTCTATAAAACTGTGGATATTCACATGTTTTTAGATAAGGTAGCCCAGTACAGGTTGGCCAAAGTCACATAGATAACATTAAACAAAAGCAGAGAAACAAATCCCAACTATTCAAGAAGCAATTCTTTGGGACTAAATTACAAATCAGATCCATGCATGTAAACAGAGAAAGAAAAAAAATCACAAAAACAAGGTGAGATGGTTTTCATCTATTCGGTCATCTTAATCGTGTGGATTTTATTGAACATGTAAACACTGAGCACAACTCACACAATCTTTATTTTATTTATTTTATTTCAGATTCAGAAAATATACCACACAGATCTTCCATCACCTTTGTAGCACAAATGTTTGGTATATCTTTAAAGTCAGTTGTGCAAACACTGTTAGTGTTGTTCTCTATGGCAGCCTTTCACCTGAAATCCCAACAAATAAACTGTGATAAAACAAATACAGGCTCTCCCCACTCCCAAAAACGTAAAAAACCCTTTAACAATGATTAGCTCTTCTTGCATTACAGGTCATCAAACTCTTTTGTACCATTTCTAATTTCTCCCTGGAGTCAGTGCACCAAGAGAGCATCCACAGGATATAAAGTCTTTCACCCATTGATCTGAATTTATCCCCAATCCCAACATTAACCAGTACCTCTTTATTTATTTTAATATGTAACCTGTGGTTAACACTATCAGCAGACATGCATTCACTCCCTTCCACAATAAAATCACCCTGAGCAGCAGCAGAAAAGCAGCATTCATTAATATAAAGTGCAGCACTCATCTTTAAATATCACCTCTAAAAACAAGGCTTACTGTAACACCCTTTTTACACATGCACCGCAGTCCTGAACCTTTCTAGACCTTAACTATGTGAAAATGCAAAATCCAAATGCAGCTGGATTGAACATAAACTGGTCTTTAACCAGATGGTTGTACCATCAACTGAAACAAAACACCTGTAACACCTTAAATGCAAATGAATCATCAGGTTGTTATGACACTGAAACTTTGAATCAATAAAGTGGAAAAAGTATTGACAAAAAACATCTAAAGATGAAGTTGTGGCCATTGAAAGGATTAAACTGACACTAGTTAACTCTGAGAAAACAAAAGAAAACATGAAATTATTGCTTTTAGATATATGGACTTATTAGTTTCACACTTTGGTTAAGTTTAGGATAAACAAACCGGTTTAGCATTGTAAAACCAAAAACAAACAAACAAAACCCATAAAAAACAAACAAACAAACAAAAAAACTTTTTCCCCAGTTACAAGACCGAGACATCACAAAAATGTGATTGGACACTTGATGTTTGTAGGAATAACACCAGCAGAGAGATAACAGACAGTGCAAACACATCTGAAGGAAACATTTTCTGTTGTGTGCTACAAGAAAGAAAGAAAACTTCAAGGGACAACATTTCAATCTGGAGTTCATGCGTGACAACAGGCCATGTCTTTAATGGTTTACTCACTCTAAAGCTGTTTTCCCACATGAACTTTGGGAAATTTAGCAAGAATTAAGTCAGAATATTTTCCTTTCTCACATATGGCACACTCCAGGAAATATTTTTCTTCAGATGAGTCCATATTTGGTGTGATTTAAGTGAGTGAACTGCCTGTAAAAAGCATGCAGGAGGTAGAAACATGACACCCACCATCAGCTTTGCAGTTTGCACCATCTAATGCACCTCGGTGAGGCAAGTCCTAGAAACGTTTGCTGCTGTAGTCTAAGTTTGATGCAGATATGCTCATACTGGATTCTTTGTTCCCTTTTTGAATCACTTTCATTAAGACAGCAGGTCAGACTTTATAACATTTCACTGGAAGGACAGCAGTCGGACCTTTTCAATCCTCCTCAAAATTATTCACATTTTTGAGGTTTATCATGATCTCAATCTTTAGTATGAAACAAGAGTTAAGGCAGCTGCAGTAACACTTTACCATCATGTCTGATTAAAGACACATCTCTGAGGAACAGTTAGGTTTGTGTGAGCAGAACTCCAGAAACTGGAGAGCCAATAATGGAAAAGAGAAACATATGACAGAGACAGGTTTGGGCTGAATGAGGGAGGAAATGTGTCTACCGAAGGAAGAAGAAGCCACAGAGAAACCCACTATCACTCAGCGTCAACTTTTACAAAAAAAAAAAAAAAACAAAAAACCGAAGGAATCAAAAAGTCACAGAATCACCACAAAGAGTCATGAAAAACTAGCTTCACTCCCAAGTTAATTTACTCAAGCCCCCCTCATTTTTAATTTTTCACCTGCTGCTTGAGGTTGTCTTAAATATAGTGAACAAAATGAAATTTGCTTAATGGGAGAAGTTAGAAGATAAGTGTCGAATCACTTCAGCCCGTCAGAGCAGAGTGTGATAGTGGGTCTCTCTGAAGTCGGGAGGTGAAGAGGGAGAAGAGGTGGAGGAGGAAGAGTCTTTCTACCACCCTAAAAAGAGAAACAAACGAAGAACAAGAGAGAGGGAGAAATACAGATTGGGAGGGGGGGAAGACGGTCAGTGTGAAGAAAAGTGTGACAGACGAGCTGATAATAAACTATCAAGGGTCGCAGATAGGCAGGTACGGGTAAATGAACAAACACTTAAGAATAGTTAGTCATACAGGTTTGAAGCAACATGGAAGAGAGATTTACATACACTGCTGACTGGGGTCAACGTCCGCCGTGGTCATCTGAACATAATTGGTGGGGAACAATCCAGTAACCCCGTTGGATTCTCCTTTCCACCAGTCAGGGTTACTCTTGTCTAAAACGTTGATCAGTTGCCCTTTAGAGAAGCCCATCTCTTCCCCATTGGCGGCTGTGTAATCATATATGGCGATCACCTGGCAGACTGAATATGAAGAGGACAGTGAGGTTATTATTTTTGCCTAGTCCACGCTGGTATTTTATTAATGCTGTAAAATGCATGCTGCTTTGACTTTTGCCCTCCCCCAGTGACTTAAAGTGGTGTCTGTGTGTGTCTGCGTTACCTGGTTGAGGTGCTGGTGTGGACTTGCCACTGCTGGATTCCAGTACTTTAACATGAGTAGCAGGGAACCAGCCCTTCTGACGCTTTTTACCACGAGCCTGGAGTCAGAAAATACAAACAGTCACTGGCTTTCAGTGAGGTTTTAATCAGACTCACAATTTTTTTTTTCCAAAGTTCATGATTGCTTGAGTGTTATGCCAAAACAAAAGGAATGTTTATGTCCGAGCAAATAATCATTTCATTTTTCTCCCAAAGAAAAAAAACACCTCTGCTAGTCAGAGTCAATAAAACAGACCTCTCAGTCTGCTTTTCACTGCTGGTACCTTTTAGAAGCTTTTGGTTAAATTATCTGACAAATAATGTGATTTGCTGCACAGTTCATTTTACTAACACAACATCCAGCGACTAGTTGTGTACAATACTGCAAAACTTAGTAAATAGGCCCAGTATCACAGATACCAAGTATCTTTGAACAAGGCAGATGGGCATGCTGGGAATTCTAATGTGCAGGAATGTGGAAAATGTGCAGGAACCTGTTGAAGTCAACAGTGCAACAGCTTGTGTGATCATTGTGTGTTTGTTGTCCAGCAGTATAATAAATTATGTTTAGCAAAGAAAAAGATAAAAGTGGTTCTCTAAGGAGGAAGGAGAAACATAGGCAGAATGAGTACAGCCACAACTTTGGAGATGAGTGCTGTCAATGACTTTGTTGAGTGCAAGGCCTGAAAGAGGAAGATGAGTGACTGAAACACTTCTTATATGTTGGAAATATGTACTCATAGTGGAATATGTGTGTGTGAAATATCTATAAGCTAAATAATGAGGAATTTTATAAATGAGTGTGCTTGTTATACGGTGACCAATCCACTCAGTCTGTGAGGACCTGTGGTTAATGGGCTTCTCACCGTTGTTCGTGCTTATAGACATTCGAGTTGTCTTTGTGCCTTTGTGTCAGCAAGGATGAATCTGTTTTGGGCTTGTGGTAGCCTAGTTAAAAAAAAAACCCCTAAACGCTGACCTGCAGTTCACCAAGCCACCAGCCTGAGACATCCTTGCTGAGGATGAGGATGAGCTGGCCATTTTCCAGATTCAGCTGCTCAGGACCAGTAGAAGCGTGAGGCCTAGTAACCTGAGCGACCTCTGTGGACATAAAACACAAACAACTTATTTCAGAAAAATGTACAATCAGGACTTCAACAAAACATGTTTGAAATTTAGAACGTTACCTTGCTTTTTCTTTCCAGATGTGCTCGATGTCTGAAAATAAAAGATGGGTTTATATTTTAGTATGTGTTCTTTTATAACCCTTTATGTTATAATGCAATCTATTATGAAATTGTCACAAACTGAAGTCTTAAATAAGACCTTCCCAAATTATTTATTGCAGCAGACCAGTTCATGCCCCGTGTGTGTTATGTTGAGTGTTCTTACATCTGTCTCTTTAGGTTTGACGTAGTTGCTGGGGAAGACGCCCGTGCGGTTTCCTATCGAGCCGTTCCACCACTCTCCATCTCTCTTGCTCACCAGGATCACATCTCCCTCTTTGAATGTCAGATCACCGGACTGTGGAGACTCGTAGGTGTACAAGGCCACAAATTCTGGAAAAGAAAAAGAATCAAAAAGACTAAAACACAACAATACAGCTATAGGCCCACGTGTTGTTTACATCGATAAACTAACCTCCATCATAGTCCAATTAAAAGAGTCAACAAATCCTGAATGATAGCAGATGAACAGTAATGTTGAATTTTGAATGAAGCATATATTATCTAAATAAATGTGAAAAGCTAAACAAATCGACATCAAGGAGGGAAAAATTGTGTAGTTTAGGCTGTTCAATCATTTAATCTTTATAAAATGTTAAAATATGATCCCAAAAAGTTGATTCTGTTCATCTGGACGTTGAGTTTTCAGTGGGAGAAACGTTTCTTTGCTTATCCAAGTGACTTCCTCAAACAGACTGTCAAACAGACTGCATACAGTTTGGACTCTTAGTTGTATTCAATATCAGGAAGCGCAGTTTACATTTCACAAGACTTTTTACTTTACCTTCAAGCTGCAGGCTATCCCCATCAGGAGCATCAGCAGAGGAGCTCTTCACACTGTAAAGACAGAGACAATATTATAGTACATACATGCATAGTAGTCTGGCAATCCACCCATGCATCTCCCAAAACTTATGACGCCACACGCAAAGTTTAACTAAAGAAATGCAAACCTTTCTAGTCATTGGGGAATCTGCTCAGGCCTTCGTAAACCTGCTGTCTCATTGTTTTGGTCACCAGCCAAATGTCACAAACACAGATGAACCTGCACTTGACTGACTAGTAAATCAAGAGCTTAAACTTCAGGCTCAGTTTCCTACAATACCAGCTGGAATCAAAGTGCATATCCTGCTGCACCTGTGAATGTAGGTGACTGGTCATGTTATCATGCGGCTTGACTTGACTGATTTAGTTTGAGATAATGGCACCAAAGTTTACATATGGAAGGCACACAGGATTACAGAGTTTATGCAAATTAATGGAGATTAATTAATTAAACAAAAGACAATGAAGTATGTTTTTCTGTTTTACTGATTTTACATAAGTACACAAAGCCAACGTTCCCACCATACAACAGACTGTCTAAATCAGGCTGGCCAACCCTTGAAAACATATCTCCTTATGTTTACATTTGATTGAACGTGAAAGGTGAAAAACTGTATTTTTCACATGATCACTAAGACTTGAATTCAGCCGTGTGTCAGTAGTGAATAATGTTCATCCACACAGGAATTTTCTGCTTATTAGTGGTCTAAAAGAGGTCTAAATTATACAAAGTGTACAACCTCAGATTGTCATGAAGGCTGAAGTTCAGATTAAATCTGCTTCAAAACTAAAAGTTAAAATGCTAAAATGATTAATGTTAAACAAGAAGAGATGTGTTTTCCCCTTTTATACATATATATAGTGATGGTAATAAGAGTGATATAGTAATAAGAGTCATTTTTAAAGAGTAAACCATAATAAACCAAATATTAACATTTTTGCAGCCTGAATTACTCTTTAAGCTGCGTATTTCATTACAGTAAAGTTTCAGGAAGAAAGTGTCTCCTAAAAGGAAAGGGAAAAAAAAAAAATCATTCTCAATGAGGCTTGTTAGTATTATCAGAAACTAAAATAACAGTAAGCGTTTCCATTTCCAAGGCTATAAAAGACTGTTGAGATTTTGAATCCAAATCCAAGAAGGAAAAAGCTGCTGATGTCTTAGAAAAAGTAAAGATCCACACATAAGCAAGTACTTACTTTGAACCCTCATCTTCTCCAATAGGTTTCACATATGTTTTGGGGAACCAGCCCTGTTCGTCGTTCAGTTTTCCCAGCCACCAGTTCTCCTGCTGCTCCAATACCTGAATCACATCGTCCTTATTAAAGTTCAGATGACTATCTGTCTTTGCTGTCCAGGAACAGAGCGCCTGGGCTAACAGGGTACCCACCACCCGCTGATGAAAAGATAACAGCACAGAGAGGTTGAACCTATCCACATAATAATTATACAGTTGTAAGGAGCAGTAAGTGCTGTGTGAAGCCCTCACCTGTTCCTGACTCTCAGAAGTTGCAGGGTTTGGAGAATGTGTTGGTGTGAAGGCGGATTTTGTCCCGGACACTTTGGCAGCCTTAAGAGCATTACTAAGCTGTGACTGCAGCGGTAGTTTAGCAGGAGGAGCAGGAGCAGTGCTATCAGCTGTATTCGATGGGCCCACTCTCTCGACGTAGCTCTCTGGGAACCAGCCCATCGTCCCCTGCTTGCTGCCATACAGCCAGCCTTCCTCTCGCTCTGTCGTCTCATCAACCTGAGCAGAGGAGAGAAGGTTTGAGACAGGAAAGTTAAAAGCTGAGGGTCAAAAAAACAACAACAACAAGAAAAAAAGAAAGAAAAAAAAAGAAAAGAAAAGAGTGAACCCCTGATTTTATTCCTACCTCGATGATGTCATCTGTTTCCAGGCTGAGCTCTTCGTTGTTTCGTGCAGTAAATGGGTAGACTGCTTTGAAGGATGTGAGTGATGCTGACTTCCTGTGCTGCTTGGCCCTCGGCTGCCCGCCTGTAGCACCAAATCAGACATCATAAAGTGAAGTGATCTATAAAACAAAGACAACAGAAGCTGATAAAGGTTTCAAAACATGCAACTGTCCCTCACACCTTTCCGCTCCTCCAGCCCTCTCAGCAGAGCTTGAATATCAATCTTCCCTCCTGTTTTAGGTGGTTGCTGCTGCTGCTTCTGCTGACGAGACGCCTCCTCCTTCCGCTTTCTCTCCTCTTCAGCTTTCCTCCTCTTTTCTTCCTCCTCCTTTCTCTTCCTCTCCTCTTCTGCCCTTTTTCTCTCCTCCTCACGCCTCTTCCTCTCCTCCTCTTGCTGCTGATGAAGCCTTCTCCTCTCTTCTTCCCGCTTCCTCTTCTCCTCCTCCTCCTGCTTTCGCCTTTCCTCTGCGTCTCGGAAAGCTGCTTCAGCAGCCCTCTGTCTTCTCCTCTCCTCCTCCTCTCTCTCCCTTCGGCGCTCCTCTTCCCTTCGCACCTCTTCTAACCTTTTCCGCTCCTCCTCTAACCTCTTCCTCTCCTCCTCCTCCCTTCTGCGTCGTTCCTCCTCTTCTCTCCTTCTCTTCTCCTCTTGCCTCCTCTCCTCCTCCAGTTTTCTCCTCTCTTCTTCTAGCTTCCTCTTCTCCTCCTCCAGCTTTCGCCTCTCCTCCTCCTGCCTCCGCCTCTCTGCTTGGCGCTGGCGCTCTTCTTCTTCTCTTTTCCTTCTCTCCTCTTCCTCTCGTTTTCTCCGCTCTGCCTCCTCCCTTGCTCTGAGCTCTCGTTCTGCCTGCTCCTTGGCAGCCTGGATGAGAGCCTGTCTCTGTCTCTCCTCCTCTTCCCTCTGTTTGGCCTCCCTCTCTTCCTGAAGCTTTCTCTGACGCTCCCTTTCCATCCTAATACGCCTGTAAGTGAGAAAAAAAAACAAGCTTTAAAAGTCTGAACATTAAAATGAAAAAGTTATTTGTGATGATGTGAGAAAATATTCAAAACAACCAATATATCAGGGTGCACCACACCTTCCACCCCAGCCCAGAAGAATTTGATCAGAGGACTGGAAAGTTGAGTTTATAAGGCATACACACCTCAAATTAACGCACTATTAACTGGTCATTATTTGTTTATTTGTTTATTTATAAGGAACCCCATTAGCTTCCACAACAGTGGTTGCTAGTCTTCCTGGGGCCCAAGCCATCAAATATCTCCAAATAAAATGTTACAACAATTAGATCTACAGTAAAGTTTTACAATACTGAAATGTAAACATGTGAATATTAAAAATTATATAAAAGCAGAAAACCAAAACAAAACACTCAAACAAAATACACAATTTCCATTACAAGTGATATTACCCTCTACAATTTTTACAAATACATTAAAAACTGCCTAAATAGGCTTTTAGGTGATTTTTAAAATTATGAATTGAAGCCAATTCTCTTATTGCCTCAGGTAACTTATTCCACTGAAACGATGCTCTGAATATAACAGAGTTTTTCAAAAAGTTACTTTTAACACGAGGAATTACTAAATTGTGGTTGGTTGAGAATCGTGTGGCATGATTATGAATTTCATCTGGATACTGCAACTGAGCACAAAAAAAGTGTGGTGTGTTTAACAGTATTGTTTTCTTTAAAAATACAAGTAAGCCATAGTATAATTTAGCTTGTACAGAAAGCCAAGAAAGTTTATCATGCATTTTGTCAATACTTGTATAGTATGAACACCTTAACACTAATCTGGTCGCCCTATTTTGGACTAACTGAAGTCTATTCAGATCTGTCTTATTAGCTGCAGACCAGATGATTGAGCAGTACTCTAGATGAGATAATACTAATGCGTTAATGACATCTTTCATAACTGAAGAAGTAATATAAAAGGAGCATTTCCTAGCTATAGCTATGCCCTGTCCCATTTTCTTAATAACAGAATTGATGTGCTGAGACCATGAAAGGTGGTGGTTTATGGTAACACCAAGTAATTTAATCTGGGTGACCTGTTCTAATGCCGATCCAGCTATGGAAAGATTTAGTTGTGGACTGTTGATTAAACGTGCTCTACTTCCTATTAACATGGATTTGGATTTAGTCACATTTATAATCATGTTGTTTTTACTTATCCAATCAAACACATTCAGCAAATCTAGTTGTAATACGCTTGTCAATTCAGAGTGGCTACTGGCTGAATAAAACATGGTGGAATCATCAGCGTACATTACAAGATGAGATTTATCCAGGACATACGGCAAATCATTTGTAAAAACTGAGTAGAGAAGTGGACCGAGGCAGCTGCCTTGGGGTAGACCACAGTTCATTTCGCGGCCCTCCGAGAAATAACCATTATAATAAACCTTTTGCCTTCTTCCAGACAGATAACTTTCCATCCAGCACAAAGCAGCTGGTGAAAATCCATAACATTTTAGTTTATCTATCAGTAGATCATGATTTATTAAATCAAATGCAGCACTAAAATCCAGAAATACCACCCCGGCCAAATTCCCTTTATCTAGGTATTTGTACCAGATATCTGTCATGTGAATGAGAGCTGAACTGGTGGAATAACCAGGTTTGTAGGCATGTTGAAACTGAGTGAGTAACTGATTTTCTATTAGATAATGTTGAATTTGTTCGTAGACAATCCTTTCCATAATTTTACTTAAAATGGGTAGCAGACTGATAGGTCTGCTGTTGACACCATTAAAAATGTCATTCTTGTTTTTAGGAATCGGAATTATTTTCGATTCTTTCCACTGCGATGGAAATAAGCTGCATGCCAGAGATTTATTAAATATGTGACATATAGGAAGGGACACAAACTTGGCTGCAACTTTGAGCAGTTTACTGTCTATGTTATCAGAACCGGAGGATGTATCATCAGGAAGTGATGTCAATAAGCGCTCTACCATCTGCACGTTCACTGCCTCAAACTTAAATTGGCATGGTTTATTATTCATGATAACATCCTGTATAAGACGACAGGATAAGGTGGGATCGCCTCTGCTCATATTCGATTTTAAATTTGTTATTTTATTGCTGTAATAATTCACAAAATAATTGGCAATATCCTTGGCTTTACTTATAAACGTACCACCCGTGTGGATGTGAGGCATCACCGGAGCAAGATCTCTACCCATTATATTATTTAAAACTTTCCACACCTTTTTGCTGTCCTTATTGGCCTCTTTGAGCTTAAGTTGATAATATTCTTTCTTTTTACGCCTATTCAATTTAGTTACTTGATTTCTTAACTCGCGATATCTTGCCCACTCTTGTGGACTGATAGACTTATGTGCTTTTGCTATATCCCTCTCTGACATTGCAACCTTAAGTTCGTTATCTAACCAAGGTGCATAGTTCTTTTTAACAGTAAATCTTTTTAAGGGGGCATGTTTATCAGCCAGGTAGCAAAAGTTTTCAATAAACATAGATAATGCCCTATCAGGGTCATTCTCGAGGCAGATGTCAGTCCAGTGAATTTCTTTACATCATTAATATACTTATCTGCATTGAAATTTTTGTAAGATCTATGAAAAATAATCTTTTGTGCAGTTTTCAGTGGTTTCATTTTCTTAGTCAAACCTACAAGATTATGGTCACTATAGCCAACTGGAATAGAAACAATATTAGAGCAATGCTCAGGAACATTTGTATATATATGATCAATACATGATGATGACCTATGACCTCCTGCGTTGACCGTGACCCGGGTGGGAATAGTGATCATCTGAGACAGGCAACAAGCCGACGCTGATGAACTTATCTTTTTCTTTAAAAGACAAGAAGGAGCCGACCAATTAATATTAAAGTCTCCTAATAAAAACATGTCTTTGTTTTCCTCAGTTACTCTTTCTAGCATTTCACAGATTCGTTTTACATACAACATATGTATTTAACTATTACTAAGTTAAACTGATATAAAGATAACTGAAGAAAAGGCAGAAAGATTTAAATGTTTTGAGAAGAGACCATGTAGGAAAAATATCTCAAAAGTTAATCCAAAGCTATTTCAACTGGTTTGAAGAACATAATTGCAAAAAACTTCTGAGGACAAACAGAAGACGCTGGCCATGGCACGAGAACCTTTTCTAGGCTAAAAGTTTTGGATCTACTAAAGCAGCGGTCCCCAACTCCCGGGCCTCGGACCGGTACCGGGCCGCGAGAGTTGGGGCTCGGGTGTGAAATGTATGGTTTTCAGGGTTTTTATCGGTTTTCAGCATTATTTTGTTATCGTTTTTAATCATTAACTCGGTTTTCCTGGGTCTTTTCATGTGTGTTATGAATAAATCTTCTTTTTTTGGTACCGGTACTAGTTTTATTTTGTTGTATTTATCCGCGACACCTTAAAGGCCGGTCCGTGAAAATATTGTCAGGCATAAACCGGTCCGTGGCGCAAAAAAGGTTGGGGACCGCTGTACTAAAGTGTCAATCTCAGCGTAAATTGTTCGATATGGATCCTGCCTATTTTGGGGTTTTGTTTTTTGAACTGATGACATTATTTTCATCTCGGAATTGTGTGAATTATCAGTATATGGAGTTGTTACATTTTTTTCTATTGGTCTCTTTATCTTTTTGATCATGACAAAAAAGGTTATTTTTTAAGTAAACAACATCATCAAACTTGACTGAATAACAAATTATATCCAGTATTCAATAACATCTTAATACGAGCATATGGCATCTGCTGTATAACTGATGACTAATATTTATAACACACAAATGTAAATTCAAAGTGTACCTCTGAGCTTCTTCCTCTTCCTCCCTGCGCCTCCTTTCCTCCTCTTGTCGTTTCCTCTCTTCTTCCTTCCTCCTCATCTCCTCTTCTTGCTCCTTCTTTCGCATGAGTTCACGCTGTTTGTCTTCTTTTATGCTGCGCAGTTTCTCCAGTGCAGCCTGCTGATTTCTTTGGCTCTCTCTCAGTTCCTGGTGTAAACAAAGATAGTTCACATAATTACTAGCAGTCTGAAAGATAAATGGCTGAATTAAAGGATGCAAGACGGACATGGGCACAGTCTAAGGCCTATAAACAAACAGCATCCAACACCTGACTAAATATTATGAAAAAGTAGAAAAGAAAGAGATAAATTAGGGGACCAAAACACAAGATACAACAAGGCAAGAACAATAATGAGACCTAAAGCAAAAACCTTTAGTAGGTAGAAGAGGTTACGGAGGCAGGCCAGCAGAGAGAGGAGAGCCTGGAGTATTGACTCCTCAGCACCCACACACTGAAAAGGGGAATGAAATGGGCGAATGGGAAGAGAGGAAAGGATCCAGTGTAGGGAAGAGCAGAAATGTCCAGAAGACGAGGAAAAAGAGGAATCAAAGTTTAAGATGTCGTATCAGATGCCAAAGTAGGAAGTATGGCAGGGAAGGAGAAAGACAAAAAAGGCCTCAAGGGCCAGGAAGCAATATTAGTGATCAGCTGTAAAGGACACAGTCTAATATTCAATTTGATAAATCACTGCTTTTAAATTTATATTAGGAAAACAGTCTCCTTAAAAATTAAAATAAATATGTTTCAAGGAAGTCGATCCAAACTAGCAGCCCCTTTTTATCAAAGCTTTACAGTTCTACGATTTTGCACTGCTGAGAATAAGTGCAAAAAAATAATATAATCCACAGAGCTTGAGATTCTGGCCCTTAACTGATCAAGGATGGAAACCATCCTACACATTCCATAAGAACTGCAAGAAGACATTAACTATTGTTCCCTGACACGGCTGCCATGAACCTCAACGACTGCAAAAACAAGCATTCAACATTTTCTCATGAGAGTATTCTAAGGCTGTTTTCACACCTGCAGTGTTTAGTCCGTTTAAATCCAACATAACTCGGTACCACACACATGCAAAGAACACAAACTGTACCTACTAGCTGTAAAATAAACTAAGGGCTTGCTTAGTTTATTAGCCACAAGACGAGAACACAGCACCTTCTACCTGTATTTACTGTGTTGCTGCTGCTCCACACGCATCTGGCCAAAAAGCAGACTGAAGTAGTGACAGATTCCTACCTGCATGTCTTTGTTATACTGGTCCATTTCTGCTAGTTTGGCAGCCGTCTCTTTCTCCAGAACTTCAAGCTGTTCTCGCAGTTTCATACACGTCCCTTTTTTCTCCGTCATGCTCACTTTTAGGGTGGACACTGTCGATGCTACAAGCAGATAAAATACAGTCACTGCGGTAACTGGTGGTACATCTATCAGACAACAATCCATAAATTGTTTGCATTTACTTCTTCTGGTTGCATGTATTAAGTAATTATAATTACAACAGGTATAATGAAAACCGTGATAATTAAAATGAGTCAATTTGCCATATAAGAGGTATTCTTTTCATTTTATTTTCCATTTTTTTATGATTGATGGTCCAAAGCTTGGCATGTTAATTTTTCACTACTAACCAGGCAGGTTATTCAGAGACATATTTTTCAGCTTTTCAGTCAGTCTTTTCTGCTCCGGAGTCAAGTGGGACAACTTTCTCTGGAACTCCTAATGGATAAAAAAAAAAAGAAAAGAAAAGAAAAAAAAATGCATCACTGGAGGGGGGCGGAGTTTCAAAAAAAGATTAACAGACACACACCCTCTCAATAAAGCAATACTCATATACATAGGTAAACTACTAAACAACTATCCTTGCTACTTTCAGCACTAAATGTCATAATATTAGGATATTATAGAAATACACAAGGAACTGAATGAAACTCAGAAATGATCTCAGAAAAAAAATGGGGAAGAAAAAAAGCACAGACCTCAATTTGTTTCTGCAGATTGTTAATATCCTGCTGACGTGCCTCCTTCCTTTGATTGTTAAGATCAAGCTCAGTCTTCTGAAGTTTTTTCTTGTTCTGAAAGTCACGCAGGCGGTCCGAGATCTGACGGTGCTTGTCACCCTAAAAGAGGTAGAGACAGAAGAACAGAGATGAGATAGCTTAAAAAACCTCCACAACATGTAGACAGAAAGTATTTTTGCTCTATGTTGGACTGAAATGTCTCTTCAGCACTCACCACTGCCTCCAACTCCAACTCCAGGCTCCTCTTCTTAGCTTTCAGTTTGGTGATTTCATCCTGCTCTTGTTCCTTCTTTAACTGGAGCTCTCCTTTCCTCCTCCTCTCCCACTCCTCTTTTCTCTGACGCTCGAGCTCCCGCTGTGCAGCCTAGAATAAACGGACACACAGAAGTAAGTACACCACGCATCACTGCGAACAAACCAACTCATTCAGAGACGTTCACCTCACCTCTTTTCTCTCCATCTCCCTCTGCCGTTCTTCCTCTTTCTGTCTCTCCAGCTCTCTTTGGAGCTCGAGCCTCCTCTCCTCCTCTTTCCTCCTTCTCTCCTCAGCCTCCCAAGCCTCTTTCTCTCTCTTCTCTCGCTCTTCTTTCTCTTTCTGAGCACGCCGCTCCTGCTCCCTCCTCTCAGCGTCCAGTAGGGCCTGTCGTCTTTTCTCCAACTCTGCATTCCCTCGTTCCAAGTTTGCTTTGAATTTATCTTCAAATGATACTAAAAATAAAGTAGGAAGACATGACAGATCACTGTACTTTTCATGTAACATTAAGAAAAGAATTGTGAACATGTATGTGACTAAATACTGATTATTTATTTGAGATCATGTCTTAAAAAAAAAAAAAAATTGTGAATGATTTTTATAAGATTTGGAGGATTAGCATTTAACAACGTCCAAACATTCCAGCTGCTACTTGTAGCCTAAGTCACCAATACGTGCACCACATTCCAGATTCTGTTCTTTAAAGACTCAGACTTATTACTAGAGTTTGACCGACTGTTTCCATTTTACTATGCGCAGCTTCTCTCATATTTATGATAAAATCATTTTAATCTGTGCATCATTTTCTTTTGTATTTTTGGTAGTCAAATCTATGCACTACATGGGAAACACACAGATGAGCTGCAAGTTTTGTAACTCATCTTATTTGAAGTCCATAGTAGTGAACCAAGGAAACAGAGAGAGAAAAAAAGAGGGTTAAAGCTGAGATGTGAAATGCAGTTACAAGAAGAGGGGAAACTCAAATTACACCCATTATATTAGTATTTCTCAGTGTTCAAAAAAATAAAATAAATATTTATGATCCATAGCTGCTGGCTGCACATGAACCCTCAGTTTAAAAAGGCTGCTGCCTGTGTGAGTTGGTTGTGTTTATTGGTAGTACTGACTGTTCATTTTTGGTTTCTGTGGCGGTTCAATTTCCAAGTTATCAATCAGGGAAGAGCTGAGGCCATTCGTGGCACTCCTGCAATACAGATTTCAATCAGTTTCTTTGAAAATACAGCATGCAACATCACTCACATAATAACAAGGTTTTGTGCAAAAAACGTTACGTCACGCATTTATATATAGAGAATGTTGGAGAGGTTTTGGTCAAGCAGAACATGTGTGTCCACATACCTCTGTGAGGGTGGTACCAGCTCAGTTGGCAGTGTTAATGGCAGTGGTTGACCACTCTTTGCCAAATCCACGAGGTGCATTGCCAGAATAAACTCCTCCGCTTGTAGCTTGCCATCTTTATCCACATCTGCTAAATTCCTGCAGGAAATTTGCAAGTTGGACTTTTATAGAACATAATGTACACTTATCATACTTAAATTCAGCAGAATAATATTCATGGGAAATAAATATTGTTACTCAGGAATATTTGGACCTCATATTTACAATTACAACATCAATATTACAGCTATTGGACTTGCTGCTCTGACATAACCAGACTAGGTGTTGAAGCACAAGATGCATGATCATATAAAACTAACTCAACCAAATTCAATAAAAACAATTAACAGTTATAGCATTAAGTAGCTAACTGTAGAAAACATGTCCATTTGATTTGATAAATCCTGCTGTATTCAGTTGCGTAAAAAATATTGTAGAACAAAAGAAAAACAAAGAAAAAAAACCAGCAAATCTATTGTCAGATTTTTTAACCCATTTTAACAAGTAATAGATACTGGGAACAGCATTCTTAAAACAAAAAACAATTACTTCCTTAATAATGAAAGCGGTATTGTGATAATGCTACAACTGCATGACCTTTCATACTTCTGGCTGCCAAACCTGACTGTAGTAATCAAAAGACATGTTCAGACACACCAAAATACACACATAATCCTACCAGATGGAGGCCAGTTGTATTTTTGTCAGCATCGTACTTTCCATCACACCCTTCACCTGCAGACCTGGTAAGAAGAGGAACAAATGTCAGAGCTGTGGAGCACAGAGGTGTGGGGGTGTGGAAGAAGAAAGGAGTGGTGTGTGTGAAATAGTACAGTGGCTGATGATATATGAATTAATCTACATATAACGTGTGGTGAAGACAGGAAGCAGTTGCAACACCATAACCAATTTTTCCTAGAGTGACATTGTACAAAGTTTCAAAATTCTAAAAAGCAGATGATGGTAAACAGTCTGTGACAGCATGAAAACATTCAGCTTTTTCCAAAGGTCTACAAGGACACAAAATTTGAAGGAATAAAAGAAGCCCTTTGTGTAATTTTGTTACCATACAGACTGCGTAATAACAGTCAAGTTGCATTACTAAGAAAATTGGGGGGAAAAAATCTGACCTTCATTGTCATTTCAATAAATCTTTGTTTTTTCATAAGAACAGGTTTTACAAGGTTTGCAGAACAAAAGGACAAACAAATACTTGACTGTGTGCATGTGTGTGTTGAGAAACACTGTGACTGAACACACCCGCTACTATAGCCTCCACTACTTAAAGCTAACTAAAGGTTGATACAGGGGAAAAAAAGAGGGAGGAAAATGAAGTCATCAGTGACTGTCTCCACACCTAAATTCCATAAATAGTTTGGTTTTATATAACCTATACAGTGAGCATACACATAAATGCATTATACCAGTGAGGTATCCAATCATCTGTTTATCCAAGCTGTTGAACTGCTGTCTGTATTTAAGTCTGGAAGCATGTGGCACAGCCCAGTCACTGGGAACAGCATTCATGGGGGACATCACAGATGGGGTTGAAGAACCGGAGCTGAAAAACAATACACCAAATGTTTATGTTTGTACAGATAATAGCCCTTTCCCATTAATACCTACTCAGCTTGACTCAACTCAATTTCTGAAATTTTATTTTTCTGACATATAGCAATGCAGCCAGAAGTCCTGTAATGTCATTTGTATGCATCACGGAGTGGATTTTTGTGAGTAGTCGCTTTTGACACCATTGAATCGGCAGTCAGTGGCAGGCAGTCTGTTGCTGTTGTTGTCACATTTTTCGTGTCGACTCAGATCACTTGGGACCCTGGTTGAGTAGTTACTAAAAAAGTACCTAGAACCGAGTTCTAACACTTAATGGAAACCCTACAGACCCAGTCGAGATGAGCAGGTACTAGTTGAAAAGGGCTAAAAGAAACTGACAAGGTAAACAAGTCAGAGGTTGCCCAGACATGCTTACGTATATGTGCAGGTCTTACCTGCCAGATCCCAGGTCTAGCAGTGTTGGGGCCATGTTTATACCAGCAGGCGAAGAGGCGCGTCCAAGCGGAGAGGCGTAAGAGGTCGCAGATAGAGGTAGGCCTGAAGCAGAGACACACATGCGCGTTAATCATATTTCAACAATAGGGCACAAAATGTTATTCACACACTTAACCACAATTACAAAATGTGATGTTCTTTTTTTCACTTGGTGGAAAAGTTGAGGGTTCTGTCTTTACAGTTTTCTTAAATGGCAGATGCCTGTACTGTGATCACTGTTGTAACCTTGTCAAGGACAGGGAGGCCATTTGTATGGAGATGAGACAGAAACCTGACTCTGCAAAACAGGACAGGAGCCATTCCATTTTCCTGGTTTTCCCTTAAAATACCCAGAACTGCTTCATTGTCAGCAAATATACAGTATTTAATATGAGAGAACAGCCAGCATTTCTCCTCAGCAGTTTTCATACTACAACAAACAGCAGATAAGCATCAAGAAAGCAATAACCAAAAAGACAAACAAGAGCTGTCTAACAGATCACACACAAAGATGAACATTCCCTCCATAACATGCATTATTCGAGTCCCCCAACCAATATCTAGTTTCTGATTAGTTTGAGGTATTTTCTTACGAGCATCGACGTGATGCAAAATTTGTGGATCTAGATCTAGTTTTAAGTGGACTCCAAAACTTAAGCACTACCAAGCTGCTTGGGCCAAACTCCAATCCAGGTCAAGTTTGCATACAAATCCTGCTCACTATTAGCTAATGCAAGTTTATCATGTTCAAAAGCTGACAGAATATTTAATACACTTTTTTCCAAATGTACTAATCTTTTAAAAAAAATAAACAAAACCAAAGTTGTTCAAGTTGTTGGACAAAACCTTCTCTTAAAACAGAAAAACTTTGAAAATCTTCAGAACAAAGTTCTGCTGCTTCATGGACTTGCTTCTTTAGTTAGTTTTCAGCCGTGACAACCTGATCAACTAGCATGATAAACATTGATCAGATAACACAAAGCGCTATGATAACCTGGAATATTTAAAGTGTAGCATATTTAATAATATCCTAATAGATTTCCTGTTAGAAGTCTCTCAGATACAAGATGAAAAAGACAAAAATGACAGCTAACTGATTAATGGATAAGAGAATTACACATACCAGTATTCAAACCTCCAGAAGAAATTGGCTGGAGGAGACCCATGGTGCCATTTGGTACTGTGGTATTTCCCATAATTGGAACCAGGGGCGTGGGGGCAGTGGACATCATTAGTGGGTTCATTCCTGATGATGAAGGAACCATTGGGCTGAGGCCCGTCATTGGTGTCATAGGTGACACGGCCATAGGAGTCAACATGGCAAGGTTTGTTCCATGCACCATAGAGCCAATTCCTATGACACAATTAGATACACCATTTTTGATCACAGTGACTAAATGCATGCATGGAAACAATCAGTCAGACACAGTTTAGATTAGTCTAAGTGCTCCGAAATCTTTGAATGGAGGATCTTCATTTAAACATTTTTTTTTTTTTAAAAATCATATTTTCGCTTCTACCTAGGAGCCATAGCAGCTCGTTCTTTCCCGTTTTTGTGGGCCATGTCCATTAAAGGAAAACTCCACATATTTGCCAATAGTAAAATGTTAATTTTCTAACAAATTCACTGCTATAGTGTACGATATAATAATAATATCGTACCATAGGCAGGGTTGGTGGGGTTGTTCATGGTGGGAGCACGCACTGGAGGCTGCTTCATGATGATTGGAAGCGATGAGGGAAGTGGTGTACCCGTAAGTTTTAGCTTTATAAGCTTCATAGCAACAGAAAACTCCAGCCGGTCCATCTTTCCATCTTTATTCATATCGGCCAGGCTCCTGGGAGACAGAACACAAAACATAAGCAAGGAAACGGTGATGGGTTCTCAGGAAGATCTTCTCAAGCACAGCATCTTATCCACTGTGAGTCTGTGTTTCTCTCACCATATATCAGCCAACACTGATGCAGGCAGCCCTGACTGAAGGAAAAACCTCTTTGCCTGGTCTCCTATAAAAAGACAGAGAGGGAAGAAAACAAAAAAGTGTCAGTTTACAAGTATGAGGTTGTACATCACTATCTGGACTTTAATACATATGTTATATTGGTTATATTTACATGTGCCTCGTCGCGTCTGTATTTGTACGTGTCTGTTTATTACTGTAAATCACAGGTGGGTAACATTTTCTCCAGCAGGCCACCCTCGTTTAGACACTCACTAAAATTCCATCCAAATATTTCATCAAAATTTATATGCATCTTGCCAGTTATTTAATGTTTAGCACTGCATAGATAAACCTGTTTTTTTCCTTTTAGGATGTTGCAGGGCAAACTGAGATGGCTCACAGGCCGGTTCTGGTCCTCGGGCCACATGTTTTCATTAATAAAGCACTTTTCAACTTTATTGGTGCTACAAAGCGCTTTACAATGTTTTCTACTTCCATACACAGGCACTGGCATGCCATCTGAAGGAACCTAGTATTCAATGTCTTGCACCAGGACACTTCAGCATGGGGAGGGGCTGGGGATTAGGGATACCAACTGAGTCACAGCCATTTGCAATTTCCAGTTTCATCATGATAAAATAGCACTCTGAAAACCAGCATCCAGTCACTGTGTGAATCATGGACAAACAGCATGTTTAAATGTCTGTACCTGTGACGTAGCCCATCGTTGGGGAGAGGGAGTCAAACATCTGATCATGTTTGTCCCTCTCCTCTGGGGAGATTGCCCACACACTTGGACCACCTGAGGGGGGAAAGGAAATGTAAAGTTTCAGTCATAGCCAGTGAGATTAAATAATACCAGGCAAATAGACCCCAAGAAGTAGCAGGCTTAATTTTTCTAATTAATGTCAGCTAATTTATCAGATATTCAGTTCACTTCACAAGATTACACAGGCGTAAAAAAAAAAGGAAACAGGAAGACAGGTGCACACACACAGACCAACTGACACAGATAAAGAGTACCCTGACGTCAGCCTCAGCAGCAGTCAGACACTGGGAATCCACCAGTATTGACAAAGTGATAATGAAGCTCAAATTTCACTTTGTTAAGTGCAAAACAAGACACTTTTACTGCTCTTCACCAAGGCTGTTTACTCCACGATATATCAACAACACCAACATATTAGGGCTGTTCGATATAACGATATATATCGGATGACGATATAAAAACGTCTATCGTTTCATTTGACGCTATCGTTTGTTTCGTGATGTTGCAAAATAAACTGTTTACCGCAATATTTTTTCATCGTTTTGATGGTCACTGTAGTGGCTATATTAATTTCTTAAAGTTCTCTCTTTCTCTTATATTTAATATAACCACACTACAGACGGACAAGCGCCTGTTTTTATGCCTTGTGGTTAGCAACAAGGACGGTAACACCATCGCGTGTCCGCTTGTTTATGTTCCACATAAACCTTTCACAATAAAGCTCAAGATCCTGTTGAGACTTTTCAAAATAAACTGAATCACGTGAAAGAGCAGATTATTTACGGAAGAGAAGTAAAAAAGAGCCGCCAGGTGTTAAAAAATAAACCTTAGACTCAAACGTTAGAACAGGCTTTTCCCCGCAGCACGCTGTGTAATAAATACTCACAAAGAAAACAGCGGCCATTACAACTTATGTCTAAAAATGTATAGTTTCATGCATCTATTAAAACACTCGACTCCAGCTACATGACGCGCAGCTGGAAACACTTCCCGCAAGTCGAGCTGCACGAGATTCACATAATTTACAGAAAATGTTACATTTGTGTGATTTATATCGTTATCAGGACGATAGAATTCTTATATCGGGATATGAGATTTTGGTCATATCGCACAGCCCTACAACATATATAACCTGCACCAACACCAAAAATATACTAATCTGGGTACTTTAATCCTGTCACTGAAGCTATCAGTAAACCTGGTGGGTTTAAAAAAAAAAAAAAGAAAGAAAGAAAGAAAAGAAAATATATGGACCAGACTTCAAAATTAGCACAACTGTGTCAAACTATAAAGAAGCTGGTCAAGAATATGTACACAAACGTAGGCCAAACACAACCCAGCAATTATCACTAAAACTAGCCTTATGTTGGCCTCAGCAGCTCTGCAGAGCCACATTCACACACCCCTCTTTCTTTCATTCTCCACACAGATTTAACACTGTCCTTTATACACACAAAACGCAGTGATCTTACCATTCATTTTCGCAGGTGGAGAACTCCCAGTGACGTCCTCAGCTACTGTTCACAGCCATCTGCAAAACACACATAAGCACGGTCCAGTAATCAGTCAATACTGTAGCTAAGAGAGGACAGTACTGTCATAGAGAGCAGGAAGATAAAAAGGCAGAGAGAGGTACAGAGACAGACCAGGCAGAGAGAGAGAGAGAGAGAGAGTGAGTGATTCTGGTCGGTCAGCAGAGTCAAACAGGGCTTCTCCTGTTCACTTTGGCCGCATCCCAAATCTTTTCAACCACATGGACTTTTTTAGTACTATCAACACTGACGTCGTAGTGGCCAGAGTGCAATCCATGCTACTACTAAAGCTAAACCGACACGCACTTATTAACATTTACTGTGTCCAGGAATACAAACCCTTGTTCAGTTCTGTTTGATCAGCTAATGTAGACTGAACAAAGGATCTACAGCCCTTTGGTGTTAAACAGACACCACTTCTTCAAAAAACTGCCCACGTTTGATGTACCGATGTTATACTTTGTTCATGTTTATTCCCCAGTGTGATGCAAACACCATCAAGTTATTATTATAGACACAAAGTTTTTGTTCAACTGCAGTCCATGATAGGACTACTTAATTATAGCAAATGTTAAACTTACAACCATTTACATTTTTTTCCTAAGAGCAATAGAAGAAAGGTTTTTGTAGACTCTTGAAAAATCTATAAGTTTCACAATACAAGAATCAATCCTGTTAGGATATTTCCAGCTCTCTATTTTCTAAAGCTTATGTGGGTCCAGGTCATGAAGGCAACAGTCTAATCAAAGAATAGCATTAGTTGAAATACGACAGTGAAAGACACCTTAGCACAGGGGTGGGTAATTAATTTTTAAAGTTAATATCCACCAGGAATGAGTTTATCCTCTACAATGGTGCAAGCTTCTTGTGTGACCCCTGGGGAAAATGACCCAGTCCTGCCTTCGAGTTTTACCTAGACAACCACAAAACGAACTCCACTGGTTACCAATATTCAGCAACAAACCAACGCTCAACAAGCACACTGTTTCCTGTGTGAACGCCCTTTAAGACTAAGCCCAGATGTTGTTTTGCTGCTTATACACTTTCAGTCTTTGTCCACAATTTGTAGCTATAGATACGATTACAATATGTCCATCTAGAGTAAAGTTGTAGCTCAACATTCAACTGTTGAAAATGAGTAAAGACAAGCTACTACACTAAAGCGACAAACCAATACTCTCAATGACTTTAAACCTGCCTTCCTGTTAGCAGTGACTATGACTCTTTCTCTATCTCATCAGGCTTTGAAACCGCTCTTGTTGAGTCATGCACTTGCAAACAAAGTGTGGGAATTGGCCTATTGTTGCATAAACCTGTTTTACGTAGTAGGAGGCTCAGCTTCTTCTTGAAGGTTGGGGTTTATAAGTTTCAAGTAATTGCATGTGATTGTGTGATCAGGCAGGTCTGTCCCAGTACTTTGGTCCAGACTAAATTATTATTATATAGGGACAGTCCACAGGGGTTGATTGTAATGTAAATAACAGGGTAAATGTAGCAGACTCTGTCTCATGTATCACATATGAACTCCTTGTTGACAGAAGGCGGTAAGTAGCTTTATGCTGGGTTGGAGAAATAGTTATAGGTCTTATCTGTGGCTGCTGTAGCACTCTTCCTGTTAAATGATCATTACAACATGCACAACAGAACAGAATTGTTTAGATCTGAGACAGTTATGAATGTCGTGTGAACTTATTTATAGAACCATTAATAACAGTAGTAATGCAACACTGAATACAGATGTAATCTTTAACTGTCCGACTGGTACGTCAACTATTTTCTTCACATTTTCTCTTTTCATTTCATATTCGCATCTTTAGAATGACAACTTTCCCTGTTATCATCACACTGCCATCAGCCGCTCAGATTCACATGATGAAGGTGGAGGAGGAAAAGCAGGAGAGAAATTCTAATCATTCCGCTCAGCACTTCCTGCCTAACCTACGAACAGAAGCATTTCCTTAATCAACATCAGTTGACAGGAAGTGATCACAGATCTTGGCGAGAGAGAGGCAGCTTTTAATGTCCTAAAAAATAAGCGTGAGAGCTGTGGTTGAAACTGACACAGTATTCCAGATTAAAGAGTCATTTATAGGTGATTACTGACATATCTGGTGACAAGAAGCCTGTGCATGAGAATATGAATGAGGGAGAGGAAAAAAAACAGAAAGAAAGTGCCTGGCTGACACTCTTACAAGGGCAGAGAATAACAAGAGAGGGCTAATCTACTGCCTGCCATCTGTCACTCTCCCTCTCTCCTTCCTTTCCCGAGTCAGACCATACTCTTATTCGATATCTCTGATCATCCATTCTTTCCTCTGCTTCTCCCATCTATTTTCCTAGCTGTTTAGATGGAGAGCATCAAATACAATCGTACTAGTTTTAAATGAATTTAGAGCATATCATTGTACTCTCTATATTGCCATCAGCAGTGACAATGGATGGTTTGGTTGTTCCTTTCAAGAAATGTACTTACTTATGGAGGTATTTGAAAGCCACTGACACTGAAGTCATGGAATCTAATGTCTGGTAACCCAACACTACAGGAATCTGAATGAATAAGTGAAAGAAAGCAGCAGACTGTTGGCTTTAAGGTTTACTGTTTCCACAGTAAGCAAGCAGTCTAACTTTCCTCACAGGGCGGCTGCCTGACCAACTGACCGATTGAACGTCGGACTTGGCTAGCACAAAGGAGTGACCTCAGTGGCAGAGTCAGCTTTGCAAACTTCATGCAAATACCTTCTGGAGTCGCCCTCCACATAAATACACACTGCCTCAGTAGAAGCCTTGTGCTGCTAAATGAATACCTCTGCTCCACCATTTGCATAGACTCCCCGAAGGTAAAATCAGAGTGAAGATCAACAACCAGAGCTCCACCTAACTTAAAAACTAACCTCATCTATACTTAACCAGTGATACAGAACCTTTTAAAAACATCTAAAAACAAGTAGGAAAAGGAAAAGCAAAAACAGATTCTAAGCTAGATGCACTGTTTTGACACAACTGAATCGCTCTATCAAGGAGACAGCTGCCTTGTAGATGGAATGTGCCATTACTGCAAGCAGGCGAAATAACTCACCTAGAAGCCATGTGCTGATAGTTATCAAATACGAAAGCAGAAAAATGCACCTCTAACTACATTTAGGAGACAGGCAGGCAGATACAATTTGTGAAAGGTGGTGAGCTTAGTACCAGACAAACAAGAGAAACTGGCAAAGCTGAAAAAAAGTCTTGTGAAACCAAAAGAAAAAAAGATCCAATGGAAACCGTGACAAGTTAAGTGAGCTATATATTATTCTACTTATGTTTGTTGAATTTAACTCAGAGAGCATAAAGAGGATGGACATAGCTTCCTTGTTACAAAAATAAGAAGCCCCTAAAAAAAAAATGTGGATTTTACCTAGTGGCCACCAGATGGCGATAGCTGTAGTTGCAAAAAACTTCTAATCCTATAAAAGTCTATTACATAGGTGTCAAACTCTGGCCCGCAGCCTAATTACATTTGGCCCGCGAAGCCATACCAAATTACTATTAGAGCTGGCCTACTGGTATTATACAGCTAATATATACATTGTTTAGTATTAAGCTTTGCTTGTTCCACATTCAGTTTTTCAGCAAAACTTGTTTGAGTCCATAAGAAGAGATTCATTCTTAAATCTGGAGGAAGATATTTTTCAATAAATATTAATGTTAGCCCGCGACCTTGTTCTAGTTTTGAATTTTGGCCCACTGTGTATTTGAGTTTGACACCCCTGGTCTATTAGGAAAACAGCTACCTTTATTGACGTTCATCTCAAGGCTTCAAAACAAAACTTCAAAAGGTGACATCCTGGTAGGTCTTTTATACTGTCTATGGTTTGAAATATGAACTTTTGAATAAAGCCACAGTTCCCAACAGCATTTGCAGGAGACACCAGGCAGAGACTGGGCGCTCAGGATCTGTGGTTTTCAACAAGACAACAACCTTAAGGATCCTGCCAAGAAAACACAGGGTGGCTCCCCACTGACAATCTTGAACTGACCCTGCCACAATCTGGGCACAAACCCAACAAAGCTCTCAGACTGTGAATTTACTGTGGACCAACACTCCTTATGAGTTGTGTTGAGTTTGAAAAACGATAGAAAACGTAGAAACGTCCAAAAGAAAGGTGTGTCAAACATATGTGATAATTCCCACAAAGGACTGAGGCTGTTACTGCTGCTATAATCAACATATAAATGAAAAAGAAAATTTGATATTTTCATTGATTTACCAAAGTTTACAATAAGTGTGGCGTAATGTACATAGTTCTGTAAAAAAACTGAAATAAAAACTTGAATGTCTAAAAACCTCTGAATGCACTACAGTAGTAGTGAACAGAAGCTCTCTGTAATGACAATAGAGCAGCAACCGCAATGCATGTCTTCAAATCTGAATAACAGCAAGAATCCAAGCTACTGATGTTCCTATGCCCAACACTTTGACTTCCTCCTAATTCTAGCTCTATTTGTGTGTGATGCTGTTTTTGAGTTACAGTGTGTGCATGAACAATATTTTTTAAAAACCTTGTGTAGTTCTGGATTTAAAAATAAAACAACCCAAAAAAGAACAGCTGTTATACAGCTTGTCTGTTATACAGCTTGTCTGTATAACTAGAATTCTGAGAAGTGGAAAATATGATAAACCCCTGGGTAGCAAAACACATAAGTCTGCCTAATGTGTCCACTCATCTTGGTGTGAACACACATGCAATAGCCATTGCTTTTGTCATAGTTCGGTACATAAATAGACATGTGACTCAGTGTCCCAACCTGCAGTTCATGAAACAGCTCTTTCACAATGGTGGAGAGGTGGTGAAACACTGTAGTATACTTGCTAACAGCCAGCAAAACAGTAACACTGATGTCCATAACACCACATAACCACTGTATACTGAAAGAAATAATCAAAATGAACAGTGGGACATTAGATCTTATTTTTCTTCGACCATAACAGTCTAAATTCCATTGCGGAAAGAGCTTTTCTTTACAAACTACAATCAAGAGTTTTTGTGTTTATATGCATATCAATTTGCTCTTTGGAGTTCTGCTGTGGACCTGCTTGTCTATCAGTTAGCATACACAACAGTGAAACCTGTTGGATAAATGGCATGACTGTTTCTGACCTTAGCTTCTTCAGTAGACACTTTGAACCATATGTGCCTTTCTTTCTGTCTGTTTATACCTTTTGCTTTGTGCTACTGTGTACCTCACTGCCATTACACCCTTGCTTAGAGTGAATCAAGAAATAACAAACATGACGTAACACTGTCAGGGATAGGGATGAGACTGAGAACAGAAACATATTCTCCTTGCTCAAGTTCCTCATTCGTGACCATCTTTTGAGCAACCCCCCCCCCAACTTTCTCACCAACTCTCATAACTTTGCATGTAAAACTGCACCCTGCCAGTCCTGTCATCATCACTGCTCTTTTCAGAGACAAACACTGCGTGAATGCCGTTCTAAGGAATGATTGATTTTCTGCCGCCTCGCTCACTGACCTCACACCAATGACATCAACTCCATCCACAGTTCTGTTTCTGCCCGATAACATCCTTTCTTCCCCTCTGTGTCCTCCTTTGTGTACAGTAAAATTACCCAAGCTTTCTCTTCAGCTGTTTTTAATGTGTATTTTCAATTCCTTCCCACAATACAGAGACAACTAACGGGTAGTTTTATTAAAGTGATACTTCAGCATCCACCCGCTCTGCAGTAAACACCCATCTACCACGCTCAGGGCTGCAAAGCAAACCAGCAGCGTTTCAGATTGGGTTTGATTAACTATGTTTGCAATGCCAGATTTTGTTTTCTTAAGAGGCATGGCACACCTCTCCCTCTTTTAGCCTGGGTTTGACTCACCTTGATTTGTCCATCTATCTGAATATGACAGGGCTGGAGAACGTACACTTCTAAATTTGTTGTTTGGCTTGTGCATGTGGCTCAGTGGGAACATGGCAATGCTTCACCACTGCCAACTTAAAAAAGACTGCGAGTCTGGTTTGACTGACAAGTTAATGTCGGACCAATATGTATATAATAAATGGAAGTTGGATGAGGAAAACGGTAGGCTGCTGCTTAGTGTCCAGTATTAAAATGACAAGCATCAAGTTAGGATTGGACACAAAGAGCTGCAGCTTGGTAAGACTCCTCCCTGTACTAACTCAGCATGTTAACCACTTTAATATTTTGCTGATTTCAGGGTTTTAATAGCCTACAACAGAACTCTGGTAGGTGATGATGTACGCAAACATGATGTGCCCACATATATTAAAGGCCATAAGTCTTTGTTACCTTATTAGAGAGACATTTGTGCATTTTCCTGTCAATTTAGGGGAACAAAATGACTACCCAGTGCTGGTAGGATAAATGCTACACTGGTGGAATATTGCTTTTCTCAAAAGAAAAGAACAGCAGATACACTCAGCATGCACTTCATTCCAGACCTTTCAAGCATTTTCTCTAAATCTCTGTCACTTATTTTTTTTCCAAGCAACTCTCTAATAAGGTTGGCCTTCGGGTAAAAGACTCTTTTAAGAAAAAAAAAAAAAAAAAAAAAAAGCTAAAAGAACTATCTCTCCACTTATCAGTGTTATGCAATAACAAAATATTTGCACTGAAATAGACAGCACCGGAGCAAATGATGATAATTTTTTGTGCTGATGTGGTTTTTAAACAACATCCTGCCAAGTTAGAAAGATAAATGCTGCAATATGTTATCCTGCATTTTCCCCCCCAAGTTTTTTAATTAAACTTATTTGCAATCATCACTCACAGTAGTTCATATTATTTGTAGATTGTATCATGTTTCCAGATTAATTTTTATTTCAGTTCAGTTACTTTCCACATTGTGTTCCCTTATTTCAGTTAAGTTTTTATTACCTTCACTTTAGTTATAGTTGATCATATGCACGAATACCTCCTGGTTTAAGTTTTGTTGACCCAGTTTGACCAGACTTATAAAAACTAAAAGAATTTTCCCTCATTATATTTTAATTTTTAATAATTTTTATTATTAGTGAGCGGCATAGTAGTGCAGTGATTAGCACTTCCCAGCAAGAAGGAATGGGATTACCCTCCAGGCTTGGGACCCTTCTGCGTGAGTTTTCTCTCACAGCCCAAGGACTTGTATGTTAGGTTAATTGTTGATTGTAAACTGGCTGTAGGTGTTAATGTTAGCCCTGTGGTAGACTGGCGACCTGTCCAGGGTGCACCCCACCTCTGATCTTATTACAGCCGGGACATGCTCCAGAACCCCCACGATCCTGAATTGGATAAGCAATTCAGAAAATGCATAGATGTGTGGATAATAGTTTTCTACAATCCCAATACTATTTCAGTTAGCTCCCCCCAAGCTCACTGTTCATGGTCTTAATTAATTGTAAAAACAGAGATTTCGCAGGGAAGAACGATTGGGTGCAGCAGCACCAATCTACAGTAGCCTATAATAAATATGGTGAAGTAACCCTGTCAGCTATTGAGTTGGAATTAACACAAGAAATATATTTTGAATTCTTTCATTAAATATATTTGTGTGGGCCTCGGCTTTCACCAATTAGGTCACTTTGCACAATTGAGACCGAGCAGGCCAATAATTCATACAAACATTTCCACTTGGGGACGGTAACGTCATTTACAACCTTCATCTCTGTTTATGTGTCTCTAGATAAACCGAAAGAGTCGCATTCCCTGATCACTTGTCACCAGTCATTGAGACCTGCCTGCAACCTGCTCAACTAGTTTGAACCAAAAGGAATTTAGGAGACTTTCCTGCAAATCTGCTCTCACAAACCTCCCAGATACACTTTCGCCATAAAATAAGCGCCAACAAACACTCCTCATCTGATTGTCCACAAAAAACATTTAATGAAAACACACAACTTAGCAAGCTAACCCAACTCTGACGGTCCCAGGTTGTTTGGCACCCACGGTGAAGCATCACCTCTGAACACTTTTTCCTTTCATATTTTCAAATTTTCAAATTAAACAAGGTACACAAGGAAACACGAACACGGAAAAGTCATTAAAAATATCGAAAAGTCAACAGGGAGTCTATAAAGGATTATTATGAGAACATCAAACTTACGGTCATGCTTAGATAAGCAGTTTCGCTTGCCTACCTCTCTCACCGCTACGGTTCAAAAACATCAACTTCTGAGCTTTCGAGAGGCCGCAAATGACGAGCCACCACTTCTGGACGGTTTCCCACACACGCTCTCAAAGTTTAGTATCCGCGGAGAGCTGCCGTTTTCAGGAGATATGTTAAGTTTGTTAACGTTTCTGCTCAAGAGAACCTGTTGCTGACAGCTCGGTGTGTCACACCAACAACATGGCTGACGACGAGTGATTGGAGCCTGTGAGGCGCTGCTAACGTCCGGCAAGTGGGAGGAGAGAGAAAGGGAGGAATAAAAGTGGAACAGATGGAGAAGGAGAACAATCGATGGGATGGGAGGCAGATAAGAGACAAGTGAGGGTAATATTATACAATATGGAGCCAGACTAGGAGAATAATGGAGAAGAGATTAAAATCCTTGTATGACTTGGAGATTATTCATGACAAATTATGAGATAAGGATATTCTGACAGTATACAGTCATATATTTTGAAATTATATAGGTACACGTTCTGTGATTATACAGTCATGTGTTCTGAGATTATACAGCCATACACTCTGAGATTATATAGTCATATATTCTGAGATTACACAATTGCACATTTGCAAGAAACAATTCAGAAATCCTCTGCGATTAAAGTCACAAAGAGTAGCTCACTTTGGAAATTTGGATCAGCCTATATAGCCAACTAATAATGTACTGTATTAGATCGGTAAATCAAATCATTGCCTGTTTTTAACCGGGTTTAGCTGTGTAAATTTCCAAAGCTCAGAATTGGGATAACACCCAAATAATCCAGACTTTGAAGGGACACTGTTGCCTTAAATTAGACATCTTGTTTAATGTGGGTGGCAGTTGGGTGTCCAGCAATCAGTCATTTCCAAAACTGGTTGGAAATTTCTTAGTAACTTACCTGGACTGTAATTTGGCCAGATTTGGCTGCTTCAGTGGGACGAGATCACAAGCTCTGAGGGAATGCATGATGGCTGCAAAGAGATTTTTTTTAAATTATAGAAAATTCAGTGGATGATAATTTTAATGTTAACAGATCTCCTGCCTCCATGAACACTCATTACGTACCATACATGCCCACTACTGATATAGCAGTTGCATTTAAAAACACGATTTAATCCCAGTAACTAAGTAACTAAGACAATGAATTATAGTCTGGTCTTTTGTATATCGTTTGCAAAATATGGGGAATAATAGGCAGTGGACCACTGTGAAGGACATAAGGAGTCTATCTTCTAAAACCTACAAACATATATTTTTCCACCTACAGTTAAACCAATAGTTTTTACTTCATGTGATGTTCTTTAACATTAATTCATGTAATGTTATTTAAAACTGCTTCAGTGGATATACGCAAGAACATGACTGGTTACTGTGGTCATGGAAAGCTCAGCTAAGAAGTACAACGAATTTTTATTTAACTGATATCTAAAAAAAACTTAATAAATAATACAAAACTATAATAGCGATGCTGTGTATATCATTCACTGCTACACATTGTCAATAGTTTGTGTTTTTCTGTTTGTGTCCGTGTGGTTCCTCTAACCTAGTAAAGTTTTAAAAAAGTGCTATTTTCATCCCAGGTTCTGTTTTGACTCCAGTTTATTCCCACAGAGCGCTGCTTTATGTAGTAATTTTAATGAGATGACTAACTATTGTTAATTATTATTATTTATTTCTGTGTTTAGTTTACTATAATGTGCAAGCGTTTTTCTTCTGAAAAACTAAACATGTACTCTATTACCCATATTCCCTTGAGGCGTACTTGCGGCAGCTTTGCGACATTTCCAAACGATTTTCGCGGTTTACGGCTAGTTTACAACTTTGCTACCTCCATGGTGAGTGGAGCAAAATGTTCAACAAGAAACCCCGGAGAAACTTTCGGCAAAGAAAAGACTGCTCCAGCGACGATGAGGACCAGCCAAAGAAGAGCGAAGAAGGAGAGGAAAACCCGGAGAAAACCGCTCCAGCTGTGGTAAATAAGCCCCTTAAAGCCGCGCAGAGCCGCGGCATCACTTGCAGCTCCAAGCGGGAAGCGACGCCTCCGAAGCCGGATTCCAGTGACGGAGAAGACGGGGAGAGCGTGGAAATGACAGAAGAAAGAGAAGAGAGAAAGAAAGACCAGGAGGGGACCAAAAAGAAAGAAACCTCTGTTTTGAGTTTCTCCGATGATAAGGAAGGTAAGTAAATGTAAACGAGGCGCTTTAAGGTAAATATCTTTGACTCCTCAGCTCACTGACAACTTTAGAGCAACGTTAGGAATTTGGAAATATTAATCTCCTGTTATCTGTTGGTAAAAGAGGTGAAGAACCTAAACCTCAAAGATACAGTGACAGTTCATAGAGTTCCTAAATGATTTTATCCACTGTCAGTGCTTTCCCTGTCATCTGTCCACATCATCTGCCCAGATGCCTCTTGAACCCCATGTGTTTTACTTTATTGGACCCGAAGGTGACAATAGACACCATTTCCCACATATTGAGACAATGTCACACATTTTGTGTGGCTCTACTTTGCAAAAGTAAAAACATACGATTCCCCCCTAAAAACGTGTGACTTATGAAGAAAAGCTGATCTATGGGGGAATCCATATTGAAACCCAGTGAGGATTATCTAACAGAGCTGCAGCTGGAATACCCAACATTTAGTTTGTAGTGGTCTGATCATCCTAACAGAGGATGGCGGTTGGCGGTGATTGCCCAATGTAACGGCATATAATTCTGGTTTGTTTCACCTTCTCATAGCTGAGGAGTCTACGTTTAAATTGAAGAAGTCATCTGAGAAAACAGTTCTGTTCCAAATTAGGAAGAAGGAGGCTCCGCCTGCCAAGACCATCGTCAGCACAGGTAGGTCCATGATGGGAACAAGAACTCTTAGAAACAGATCTTGAATACAGTATATGTGCATTAAATACACTCACTGGACAGGTGTGATATGTGTATCCAAAAGAATGCATCCATTCCATAGGAGGTGATGAGTAGGGAAGTGACAGCAACAGATCCATGTGTTCACAGGTTTTTTCCTGGTTTAGTCTCTGCAGTTTAGAGATGATTTTGGTAGAGGCAATGAGGCTGTGGTAACTTATTTGACAGAAATTGATGTGTTTTCAAATCCCTTTTGGTCATAAATAAACCAAAATGACTATTTTTCTAATCCTTTCTAATCTTAAGATTATACTGTTAAGGGTTTACATATATAGATTCTTTGCAATATCTAATGTATACCAGAACACATTTTTGGTGAGTAGACGGAATAAACATTTTTATGCCTTTTAGCTAAAATCAATGGCTTCCTGTTCTCTCTTCCACCTTCAGGGGCTGGTGGTGCTGTCTCATCATCTGCTTCACCCAGGCAAGATTATAGCAGTCAGGCGTCACCACATTCTGTGGATGATGACGATGATGATGACAAGGATAATGGGAGCAATGATGACAGTGATAGCGATGAACGTGGAGTGGGATCTCCTTCAGCCAGCTCAGCCTCAGACTCTAGCAGTTCTTCTTATACGCCCGGTATGTTTTGTCAAAGAGAAGGACTCTCAGATTGTTAGGACTACATGATATGATTAAAATCATCAGTTGTTAATCTGGATTCATGGCTGTGTTTTTAAATTTCTTCTGCTTTGTTTGTGCCTGCAGTAAATATCCCCAATGCTAGAGAGATCGAGGCAGCCAAGAGACGGCGTCGTGCCAATCGAACCCAGAAAGAATTCATTCCCCTCAGTAGAGATGGCCAGAGTTCAGCTGGCAGCACACCAGATCACTACAGCAGGGAGGATGAAGATGACAGAGTCGATGATGATGATAATGAGCTGGATGATCATGAGAGGAGAATCGAGTTTGCCCCACGGATGAGGAGCATCAGGGAAAGAATTGCTGAGAAACTTGGTATGAGAGGGCGGGATACAGAAAAAATAGTATGAGGAGGTGAGAAAGAGAGAGAGAAATGGCAGGTGTAGAGAGAAGAAGAACGGTGGGGAAGCATGAAAATGTGAAAGCTGTTTAAGTTAAAAAAGAAAGGTGAAATTTGTCATAATAGGCCTGTCTGAATAGTTCGTATGGATTTTAACCAAACCGTGAATTTTAATTGTCCTATTCTGTGTGTTTTAGGAGAAAGTGATGGCAGTCGGTCAGGGACTGATGGGGAGGAGCAGGAACTCTGGGAAGAGACACAAATTGGGAAGGGAGTCAAAAGACGACCAGGGGAGCAGGTATGAGGGCCAATTAACATCTTGTTTTTGATTCTCATTATTCTGTTAGCACATATCTATAAATGCTGTTACTGTAAGTTATGCACCTGTTTTATACCTTTATGCGTGTCTTTTTGCATTGTTCTGCTGTCATTGCTTTTTGTCTTTTTATCCTCCTTTTATCCTGATATTTTTCATTAGAGCCCATCTGGCAGTGAGTCCAGCAGCTACAGCAGCAGTAGCATAAGCAGGCGAGATAGAGGAAGACAGAAGAAGAAATCTGCAGGAGTCAAAGTTCCAAAGATGCTTCCCCCTGTCACTGTCTCAACGGTCAAGAGAAGGATCGCTGGAAAGTTAGTTTGCTCTTTATTCCACACACTATAACGATTTAAAATATTAATGACAGAACAGATTAGGATTAAATGTTTAAATGATACACTGTACAGCAGTAGTAATTCCTATTAGCATGATTCCAGAGGCCAATAAACATTACATTTATACACTGTGCTTTTATTACTGCATGCTGCCAAAACATGCAACACACATTTCCCCCCATTGTACACTTAACTCCTCCACTTTGTAATATTTTTTTTCTTCCTAGACTTGATTCGTTGAAGGAGGTGTACAGAGCACGCCAGGCAGAGCTCAGAAGGATGGAGGGCGATGTTGAGGGTGCTAAAACCTCGTTGGAGAATCTGGAGGAAAGCTCCTCAGAGAAGCAGCTTAAGTTTTACAGGACCATGACGACTTATGCCCACAACATGGTGGAGTGTTTGCAGGAGAAGGTCAGAAAAGAAAAGTTAACATTTAAAGCAACAACTGAAAAAAAGAGTAGTTTATCTTTAAGCTTTAAATTGTTCTACTGTGTATTCATATGATATAAACCAGTACAGCATTATCTGTTTTTTTTTCTCAATACTTGACTAAATTATCCCAGATAAATAATCCCACAATAATTTAGGTGACTCTCCTTTTATTTGCTGAAGGTTGTTGAGATAAACTCTCTGGAGCTGGAGTTGCACACTCTGCTGTCTGACCAGATGG